AAGTAAGAGAGGGGCGGGGAGCGAGCCGGGGGTGAGGGAACCAAGATTTTTAGATAGGGGAAAATGCCATAAACTTTGTCATGCGATATATAGTGAACACTCAGTTACATGCATGTATATGCTGTATAAAATACCTTGTCGGAAACAAGAAGAACGAGGTAATTCAAACGTGGCAAGCTCCGCCCCCTTGACTTGAAACTCGTCCATGTGCTCCGATATAGTACTACAAACATAAAAGAATTCATAGCACATTTTTGCTCTCGTATATTTTTGAGGTCCTCAGAAGTAGCAGCCAACCTGATATCTTCAAAAATTAAAGTGGTAGTGTACCTAATTGCCGATACTTGAAATTTTTTTCATTCTCAAGTTGTTTTGCGTTGAAAATTTTTGGTTTCATAGCTTTGAGCACGGTTCTCCGACGAATGAAAAAGAAAAATTATACATTATAGAAGCATTTTCAAAATTCCAATTTTTCTAATCCAAAGTAGATTCATATAGCAACGAAGAATTTGAAGGAAAATAGCTAAAATACAACAAGAGCTTCCCTTAATGGGACAATAAATCAAAATTTTATGAAAATGATGCTGGGCATCGGAGTGTGGGTGGGAGAGGGGGAGGGGGAGGAGGGAAGGATGATTACGAGCATGATCTTCAAAAATGCGCTAACCAATAGCTTCCCGACGTTTTGAGAGTAAGCAAGAGCCATTTTGGCTTTTTGAAGAAATTTCATGAATTTTTTGAAAATGAAAAATCATGATGCTATAGATAGTAGGTTGACAATACTGAATTGTCGTAAAGTTCTTCTCAACCTCACAATCTGTTCTTCTGAAAGTTCCAAATCAGCTACGCGAAGTTAAATTCCCTTCTTCCAATCTGCCGTTTTCATACTAAGCCAGCTTGTAAAGAATCTGTTTAATCTTATTATTTTCCTTCTAAGCTCTAAATCTAGCAACAGATTATGGCCAGCTGTTTTTCGGATGGAGAGATTATGGAACTTGCAACGATTCAGTTTTGAATGCTCGGCGGTTATTAAAATTCGAAGCATCCCCCATAGCTAATGGGCACAACGGGACGTGAGAGTGAAGCATGTCTTTGGGGGTTTCTCTAATGATAAACTCATAGCAGAACACTTTAGCATACAAACGAAAAGAAATAATGGAAATTTCGAGACATTTGGCTGCAAAAAGAGCAAAAATCAGAGAGACCTCGTTATAAACTTCTTTCCAAGTGAGACTCCGAAAACACATGATGTCTCCGATTTTTCGAACCATTCTATCGAGCACAAACGTGAAAGAATCCTTTTCTTACGTAGGATGGAAAATGATGAAGGGAAAAGGGAAAACAAAGAAATCAACTATCAAACAATTAAGTAACATAGAAGGAAAAACATCAACTTCAATCTATATATCAGGTTAGGACATATGGAGTTCTGAGAAATTTTGGTGCAAGACTTCCAACCTAATATTTCGACTCAATTTTGAGAGAATTCTAGAAATCCTAGACCCCTTCAGAATTTTCAGCAATCATAAATTTATTAATCAATGATTTAGAAGTTATTTAAGTAACCTTGATCGCATACAAAACTTATTTCACTCGAATATCTGACTTTTTTTGATTTATGAGGACAAAAATTCAACACTGTTCATTTTTCTTCTTCATTTTCCCAAGGTCGTAAAAACTGCTGGTGGTCTTGTGTTTTTATCTATTTGTGAATAATTAATAATTCTATCAAATTTGTGTGTAATCTTTTTCAATTTTATTACTTTTTATGCTTTGCAACACGCTCTCTTTCTTTTCTCACATTTTGAGCTTCCCAAAAATTTGAAAGTCAAAGTTTTGACCTGAAATCTGATAGTAGTCGAAAACGAACGTTTTTTTCAAAAACCGTATCTCCGACCCAAAAATTCAAAAAAAATTCTTCATTTATCCTAGCATTTGCTGGACACATCGCATATTCAACTGCACGCTTTTCGAATTTTTTCCTTGGCTAGAGATATAGAGAAAAATGGATGGGGCAAAATGACAAACTCCGCCTCTAAACGTGCTGAGCTCCTCCTACGCATGTGATCATATAGCACATACATACAGAAGTACGATCATGTATTTGGATCGTGTAGGTGTCCCAGTTAGGGTAAAAACGGTAAAAAATTATGAGACACCCTGAATATCAACGAAGGAATGCCAGTTCGTAAATAACAAGGCTTTTCAAATGGGTAAGCTTATTACCCTCAAAAATTCGAAAACCCTTCCCTCAAGCATGAAGATTTTTTCCGCGTCATTTCAACTTCCCCTTCGTCTTTCATCAAATCCTAAATCGAACACTCTTTGAAAAGTACGCTCAAATAGCTTAAGAACATTACGAGCGTAATCGGATTTCTTCACGGCGTCGCCGTCAGCCGCCGTGCGGCTTCCGCCGCCGCGGAAGCCGCGCGCAACGCGAACGCGCAAGAACGCAGACGCCTTTTAACGTAATGTTTGAGTTCGGAAGCACAAGCGCGCATCGCCGCCATTCACTGTGACTAATCAGCTTAAAATCACCGGCGACAAGTCACGACTGTGTGTGTGTGGCTCGAATGAGCGCCATAGGACCAGCACAGCCCAGCATGAGCTGCTTCTGTGGGTGCTGGCTGCTCTGAATTTATTCAAATGTTTCTCAGGCTGAATATTTTCTTGCAAATCAACGACAAGCCCTTTTCAATGTTGACGGTTCTTCTCAAACTTGCAAAAGGTGATAATAATCTTCCTGTATCGCATTTAATCGCACTATAAAACACCCTTGATTTTTCTGCAGATTTTTCTGTTTCAGAGGTGTCTCAAAAGCCTAGCACATGATCTTTTTCATCGTAGTCAATTTCAAAAGTACTGTCTGGGCATCAGAATACTGTATGTGGGCATAAAAATGCTGAGTCTGAGTACAACCCTTCATAGTAATTTTCATAAAAATAGCTTTTCTTCATGCTAACGGGGTAGAGGTACGAACGCCTCAATTAGGCGCCGCTTCTGCAGGCTGCTGGTCCTTTCGTCTTACTGTTGTACATCGTCTTGGGACCAGTAGTCCGCGGAGGCGGTGCCAAATTGAGGCGTTCGTTCCTCCACCCATGCTAACGTAGCTATTTCGCGATTTTGCAGAAAAAGGTTGTGTTTTTCTCAAATCGCTATTTATCCAAAATGTGAGCTCTTCGCTTTTTGTTTGAAAATTTTTCTGTTTCAAGACTATCTCAAGAATCCTAGATAATGAGTGTTTTGATCTTGAAACATCTCAAACTACTGTATGTGGGCATCGTGATACTGTGACCTGCGTATAAAACTCTGCATCTGGGCATCAACTTTCGGTTTGGAATTTTTAGAAAAAAGCTTTTTTGTGTCGATCACCAAAATGCTGCAGTTTTACAGAGAATAATTGTAATCTGTCATAATGTTGACTTCTTGTCAATTTTCAACTTTTCTGCTTCAAGACTAATTCAAAAATCCTAGAAGTGAGTATCTTTAGGGATACTGTAATTTTTGCGGAATATGCATCTGGGCTTTACCCTCACAAAGCCTTTTTGTGCTGATCACCGAAATTCCTCAAATTTCCAGGAAAAAATTAATGTATTCTATCATAATGTAAACTCTTTACTCAAATTGCAAATTTTTCTGTTCCAAGGCTACTTCAGCCTAGCAATGAGTTCCATTACCGTACTCTCAAAAGTACTGTATGAAAGCATCGGAATACTGTAGTTTAGGCAAAATATGCATCCGGGCATCACTTTCTGTTTGGAAGTTTAAAAATCACTGGAATTCCACAAATTTACAAAATATGACCATGATTATTCCAAATTATATTTCATCCAAAATGTAAACTCCTTACTTTTCTTGCAAGTTTTTCTGTTTCAAGAATCCTGAAAATTTCGCCACAGAATCCAGTTTAAGAGTACTGTATGTGGGCGATACTGCATCTGGACACTCTCCTGTTTATCTGATCACGGGTCTTTCTTGAAATTGCAGAAAAGTGATCTTTTCCAAAATCCTATATTATGGAAATTTTTACACTTCCTGCTCTTTCGCAAATTTTTCTGTACCAAGACGTTTTCAAGAATTTCTAACAAAATTACTTTTTACTTCTTTTTTTTACCTCCTAGTTCCTTACAGCAAATCAGTCCAGGTATACTGTATTTGGGCATCAGATTGTTCGTTGGCATCACATTTTCTATCAAATCCTAGTTGCAGATTGCTCTCCTATCAGCTGGTAAAGACTGGAAAATCTTTTTCGAGTTCTCTTTTCTTTTTGTCTCCAGTGAATCACGATTTTCTTTTTTGCACTTGATCTTCTCTTTCTTTTTTCCTAATCCTCTTCCATCCTTCATCAGCACGTGAAATGAACAAAAGTGCGCTAAGTACACAGAAATCAAAACGATGTACCGCCACTTACCGCTGACGTCAACATGGTCAGGGAGTTCATAGAGTTTCGAAATCAGAAAAGCACCGCTTAGACCTTTCTGGGGTATTTTTCCCATGAAATTAATTTTAAAGTCTATTATTTGTCCTAAAATTTTTATTAACCCATTGACGACGACGCCTAGTTTTGGGTGGGGGCGCTGTGGAACAACACTTTCGGCTTGGGAAGGTTTTGGTGGTCATCTATGAAATGCAAGGTTGCTCCGTAAACAACTATAAACACCTTTTGAAAAGGCGGAGCCTAGAGAACCAGCGCAAAAAAAAATAGAAAAAAATATCAGTCTATGGAAGAACTACTAAACCTAAAAAGGACATAACTCTGCAACAGGTGTGGGCCACCGGTGGCCGATAATGTCCCTGGCAGAAAAATTGCTTGGGCCAAAGATAATCCACATCGTCGTCATTGGGTTAATGCATGCGAATATTGCTTATCTTGTATGCGTTATCGTAATCGAAATAAATGATAATTTTGATTGTGAAGTTTTAATTTTCATAATTTTAGATTTCCATGCGATTAAGGCACTGCAATTTGAGCTAGAAGAAACAACAGCGAGACTAAGTCGATGTCACAGGTATCCTCTTTCTTTTTCAAACAGAACTCTGAAAAAATTCCCTTAAATTTCTTCCATTTTAGTTTTCTCGCTTTACGTCGGCAACAGCGCTTTTGGTCGCTTTGGCCCTATCCGTCGCATTCCAAGACACAAATTCTATTGCCCCTCAAGTCTCTGTATCAGAGCATGCACCCATTTTACAGGTACTGTACTCTGAATCACTTACGACATTTTGCAGAATTAAGTAATTTGCCTTTAGATCTCATCACGAGAAGGTTACGTTTCGGAAACGGCCGTTATAGGCACTACGGTACGGGTATCACCAAATCCACAAGCAGATTCGCTGCAAATTTTGGTCAACGATGATGATTTGGTAAGTTTGGGTCAAGGTGGGGGGGGGGGGGGAGGATGAAAAACTAGCACTTACTCAAATAATATGCCATGGTAAAAGGTAGACCACACTCATGACGTTTTGACCATTTTGAATCGATTGTGCAAATGCGGCGCACTAAATGATGGGCATTTGTCATTTGGTGTCGCGTAAGATGATATGAATGCGGCTTTCCACATGCAGTTCACAGTGAAAGACGTTTTTTTATTAGAGCTGACTACGGAAAGGAATTTTCATCCTATCATACAAATTTGGAGTACTTTTCATTTACTTTTTTGCTTACGCGACTCCAAATGACAAAGTTCCGTCCATTAGTACGCCGCATTTGTCGATTGGCTCATACCGCTTAATACCTTGAGTGTGGCGCCTACCTTATGACACGGGTATGAAAGTACAGTATCCGAATGTACCACTAGACTGTTTCCATTTTAGCAACCTGGCATGCCGCCAGCAACTTACCAGTACATCCTTACCGGCCCGGGTGCAACGATTTTCGCTGTAGATCAGCGTGGTTATCTCTACCTCAATGTGCCTACGATCGATGCCGACCCCCCAAACCCGTCTTCCTACCGGCTAAACGTAATTTTTCATAAATTTCATAAATCAGAAAAAAATTTCTGCACGTTAAGGTCCAAGCTCGAGAGGTTGACACGACGCCAATAAGAAGCAGCGAGCCAGTCACTATTATTATTCATGTTTTGGATGCTAACGACAACCCACCGCAGTTTGAGCTACCGATTTATACCGTGAATGTAACCTCTTTCGGGGATGAGCGACCTGTGGTCAAGGTGAGCTATTTTGTTGAAATTAAAAAATTATTGATTTTCTTGTGGAAACGGGTCGAGACCTTGCACTCAGGCGTCCAATGCTATCTATATGTCAAAATTTTCTTTTTATAGGTGCCCTAAAGTGCCCTAAAGCCTGTCTATTTTAGGTTGTGGCAAATGATCCCGATTCTGGAAGCTATGGCGAGATCCAATATCGAATCATACAGGTGATCAAATTCTGTTCAATTGTTGAACTCTTCGCATCTTCGACTTTGAAGTTAGAGTGATAAAGCTTAACGCAGTTTCTACTTTTGGGATTTTTGGAAAAAAACACATTAAATTTTGTGGTCCAAAAAATTCAAATCCCATCCGGCCCATGCCCTATGCTCTACCGTATTTAAGGAATTTGGTTCTCTGGAATGAATGCGGCCTAAGAATGATTGTAGAACGTGCCACGCACTATGAAAATTTTTTGGGTCGGTCTCAAAATTTCCGCGGGCCCATAACCGCAAAGGTGGCAGCAGAGCTCCCGAGAATTTTGTTTTACAAGAAAATGTGTAAATTTTTGAAAAATTTAAAAAAAATCACTTGAATCATTACTTGTAGGCAATAGTCAAGTTACTCGCACATTTTTGGAGTTCTTAAAAAAAATGGAAGAACCCCCGGAAATTTCCCATCATCTAAGACTTTCTTTTTCAGAAAGAATAGCATATGAATATAGTACATTGCTTTTCATCTAGCAGTGAGCAAGGTAATTTAAATTTTTGAAAATTAAAAAAAATTATTTGAGTCACTTGCACATTTTTATAACCCATTTAAGTAAATTTCATAAATTTCGCCCACCTCCCCTCGGTTCGCCGCTGGAATCCAGTAATTTTCTCCATAATTTGAGATTTTCAACAATTTCTGTCGCGATTTTTACTCATTTCATAATCTTAAGCAGAGAGAAAAGCACGTGACAAAATTCTATTGCTTTATAAAATTCATTGTCCCTGACCCAACAAAAAAATGTTTATTTAGATAACAAACGGCGGTGAGGGCAAGTTCCGTTACGATGAGGCAACAAATATGCTGAACGCAGTTGGAGATCTCACACCTGGGGAACGATACCAGGTATTTGGAACTTTGCCATTCTAATTAGCGTTGTCGGGAAAATTCAGCTTTTTTTCAGATAGTAATAGAGGCTGAGGACGGCGGTGGAAGGAAATCACAAGCAATTGTAGTCGTTTTGGCCACTCACACAATGTTCAGTCTTGCCAGCATTGCTCCACTTCCTGGAATGGAAACTTTTATACCACATCCTGCTGCTTATATGACAACAACAATTCCATCATCAGCGAGTGCTGGTGGGATCACTCAAAAATCGATAAATCGATTGACTCGCTTGCTTTTTGGAAGCTGATAATTCCTGCGTTTCAGAACAAGATGAAACAATCCAAACATTCGTCACCGAAGTTGCTGAAAACACGCCAATCAATACCGTAGTCGTCTCACTCGGGGTGCGGTATATGGCCTTTTCCTATTGGCTGGTTTCCTCTTTTATCCCAAAAGTTGTCATATTCTAGGGTGATCTCTCAAATACCGATGTCTACTACGTCATAGCTGGAGGCAATACTGAAGAGAAATTTACAATCAACCCGCAAACGTACGTTTTTCTTTCTCCGAATTTTTCTAATTTTTTTAACGGCTAATTTTTTCAGAGGAACGATAACCACAATTGCTGAATTTGATCGTGAACGTACTGCAATGTATTCGTTGCAAATCGACACCCGTAGTCGTAGTCCCGATCAACATCTTTATTGGACCCTCGTGCAAATCAGCGTTTTGGTAAGCATAAGCGTTTTTTTACACTTTGTGCCAAATACAGCGTCCATTTTGCATACGGTTGCGCATCCTCAACGCAAGGCCACGCGCACCCATCTCTAGTGCGTGGAGGACATTAGGTCGTCGATAGGCTCCACCCTCGCGGACAAGCAGCATGAGGCGCTGATGTTGAAGGCTCGTGTTTTGTTGCAAATGTCCGCGCGGGACCCCTTTCGGCGACCTAATGTCCCACACCCACCTATAATCGATTTGACTTCTTGCAAAAAGCAGCGAACGCAGCGCAGCGAACTCGCGAAGTGGATACACCATATAATTGCGGGGCACTATGACTGAAACAGACTGTAGCTACCCTAACCATTTTTTGTTAATTTTAGGATGTCAACGATAATTCGCCACATTTTGTTGGCCCTCAGCCAATTCGCCTTAGACTAAGTGTTGATGATCTCGATCAGCTGGCTGCAAATATGGTTATTGGTATGTTTTCGCTAGTTTTTTTATGTTTTCATTATTTCTTCTATCAGGGATGATTTTTGAATTTTTTTTACAAAAAATTATCTTTTTGTTATAGGAAAAGTAACGGTAGAGGATCCAGATGCAGATGATAATGGTCGCGTCGAACTTAGGGTAGCGCCAGAAATGAACAAGTGAGTAACTGCTTGGTTCTTTTTCCTTTTCATTTATTCTTTATGTCAAACAGAAACCAATTTTTTTTGTGCTCAAGAAAACAAAATTTTTGAGGCTAGGTACTCAAGAAAATGGTTTTTCTTCATAAAGTGGTGATTTCAGACTTTCTGTATTCAGGGGTTTCTTGTTCTGTTTTATTAATATTTTCAAAATACTCATGCAAAGACCTAAAAGATATTGTAGTTTTGGAATCAAAGAAAAATCAAGGCAAAAATTACCATTTTTCTACATTTCTGAAAAATATTTTTACTAGTAACCTTCAATGATCAACGTTCGCAGATGATCTGTAAATCTAGGAATTTGCTCTGGGATAGACAGGCTAAATTTTATTTTCTCATTTTCACGCATTTTTTCCTGCTATTAGTTTTAGAACACTTAAGGGTTTGCAATTTCATAGACTTAGAAAATTGGACCAATACGGTTCAGTTACAGAAAAAATATGTACGAACTTCTTTTTATTTTTTTGACATTTTTTCTGTTTTGATTTGTTTCGCTATCACATAGCTTCTGCCTTGGAAAAGAACTCTGACGTTTACAGACTTTTCACCATCTCTCATGATGGTGTTGTTTCCATTAATGGCGATTTTACCGCTGCCCATTTTGGCGAGCATAGGATGTTCATTATCGCTAGAGATCATGGTGATCCACCAAGAGAAGCTAAAGCTGAGGTTATTGTGAGCATCTACGGAACATTGATCACAATGGCCACGGAACCGCCTACGGTAAGAAAATTCAAGAAAAAACTAATTAAAGAGTACTTTTCCTATCGATCCCCTTGATTTGGTGAGTTGGCAACTTTCCAAAGGGGCAGAAAAGAAAAATAAAAATTTTTTCAATTGATTCTTGTGATCTACGAGATTTTGGCAATTTTCCAATGACATATGAAAGCGTCTCTTTCAGAGTGAAGCCTTCGAGTACACAAACTCAGCCGAAGAAGAAAAAACGCAGCCGGACTACTATTATCAGAGCTTTACAACTTTGGGAGCAGGACAAAATAATCGGAGTAAGTTCCTCATAGGTTTGAAAATCAAAATAAACCCCTTTGTACTGGCCTATCAACCCAGGGCAATGAAAATGATTTTTTACGGGAATCTTTCAGTTTTCTCCTCGTTTGCCACGCCATCGCCAGCTCCACCACCGCCAACTGTCTCTATCGCATCCACATCCGCTCCTACTATTGACTATCCTGCATTCAACAGAGGATCGGTGAGATTTCCACCTTAAAGGCACCATAAATCCAAGTTGGGATGTTGAGATTTTAATGCTGTATTCTAGCGGGGGCTCCTAAATAGGCAATCGTCCAAGTTGCGCTGCAAAAGATGAATTCAGAAGCGAGAGAACTGCTCCAGAAGGTAGAAGAGGGCACGCTGGCTCCGCCCATCAGCAAGGGTGGTCTGAAGATAACAAGTCCAAAATTGAGCTTTAATGTACCTATAACTGTCAAAGATGCGCTCATTATTATTATCCTTGAACTTGTCTTTTTTTCTACCCTAGTGCCCAAATTCAGATTTGTAATCTGCAGACCACCCACTGGACGGAGCTAGCGTGACCGCTTCTAATTTCTGGAACGGTTTTCTAGCTTTGGTATTCATCTTTTAAGGAAAGACTTGGGCGATTGTAGCTAGGGGCCCCGCTATCATAGAGAATTAAAATCTCATCATCCTCAAATTGGGTGGGCGCCTTTGACCCTTATAAATCCTAATCCTCTAATTTGTCTCCCAGAGCGAAATTACCGAGATATGGACCTCGAAGGAGACATTACCTAGCTCAACGGAAACTAAAACGACCACACTTGAGTTGCCGAAGACATTGCCAACTGTGAAGGTTGAGACAAGCACTACTACGGTAGGGATCAAAGAATTCCTTTGTTCTTTTATTCTTGATAAAAATGTAAGCGAGGCGAAATATTGAGCTTGTCCGCTTATGTACAGGGTGCCCTAAAAAGATGTGTACACTGTTTGATTGTTAATAACTCTCTTGCTTTCATGTCTTTTGCCAAGCTTGAGGCACCGTTCTTTAGAGCAAGGTTCAACTTAAATTTACAGTATGGAGCGACTTATCAGCAGCTCTTCACTACTGTAGGTTTACGGTAGGAATTTCGAGGAGGATTTTAAGCCTTTGAAAGCGGTATTTTGCCTCAGAAAGAAAGCCAAACAAGCCAAAGTCTTGAAGTGGGTTAATCGAAGTTGCTAATTTTGAATATGAAAATTGCACGTCAGTACACTGTTTCTTTCATGAGTTATCTCAGATAACAACTGATTTTCCAGTGTTTGTCAGAAATATGAATACGCCTTTAAGAAAGCTCGATGGTGGAAAGTTATGTAGTGAAATCAGGACGCCTGAAAACCTTGCTGCACAAATTTTTAGAATTTTTTGAAATTATTTCATCAAAAGGCTTATTCCACAGTGACGCTGTATGCTGAAAATTCACACCGTGATCCTATAGTAACGAAGAGTGATTGGTGATTCGCTCCATACTGTAAATCTAAGTTTATCCTCGCTCTACAAAATGGTACCTCAAGCTCGGCAAAAGACATGAAAGCAAGAGAGTTGTTAACGATCAAACAGTGTGCACATCTTTTTGGGACACCCTGTATAATTTGAGTTGGCTTATAAGGATTTGATGCTGATATCTCTAGAAGCTTCTTGATCTCTTATCTGTGAAAAACGGTCGCAAACTCATACAGGAATGATCAAGAGCTACTGGATTAAGATTGTACAAGACTTAGCGAACCAGTAATTCTTGAAAATTTCATAATAATTGCAAGGAAAGTTTTTTCTTAGAGGCAGCGGCTCGGGAAAATTGCGAGAGGTCTCCATCCCTCCTTGGCCTTATTGGACGCGATGAGTCCAGGGCTGTGCTTGAAATGTCGAAAAAGTGCTTCTCATGACTTTTTCCGATCTTTGGAGATTGCTGGAAGGGGTAGGCGAGCGATTGCCAGCTGGGTTGCGATTGGCTGCCTGACCCGATCCGCCAATTGCCGCCAAAATGGGTGGAGTTACAGTACCCTGCAACCAGTAGCTGTTTTTGGCGGGATCCCTCGCCCAGCTCCCTCAGCAATTTCTAAGGCCGGAAAACGTCGAAAAAGCACTTTTTTGAGTTTTCAAGCATAGGCGCGGACTCAGCGGATCCAAAAGTCGAGGTGCGGAAAGCTAGCACTCGCAATTTTTTCGAACCACTGCCTTGAAGGAACTTTTTCCAATTATCTCATCAAAAGCTAAATCATATCGTTAATGTTGTAACTCATGTTGATCAGTAAATTCAAGAAACAGTCCTTAAATTGCATTGTTTCTCGCTAACTTCATTTACGCCTAACTTTTATTGATTTTCTTCAATCAAAAAACGTTTCCAGTCTCCATCTCCAACAACTACCCAGGAAACAACGCAAGCGCAGCGCTTAGCACCAGTCTTCAATCCTCCACAGATTACAGTAACCGTAGATGAGAATGAATCCGATTTTGAGATTGCCAAGGTAAGATAATGCAATTTTATTTTGGCTTTATCATCTAATTTTTCTTAAAGATGCAGAAATTCTCCTGAAAAATTTCAAAACAATTTGGTTGCAGGTTCATGCTAGCTACCCAGACGGTGGCTCAGGAACAATCTCTTACGTACTTCACAAAGGGGATGCGACAATGTTTTCGTAAGTTTATTTAGATTACTGTAAAGAAAATCGATAATCGATTATTGTGTTCGGTCAACTAGGAAATTTATAATCGATCAATCGTTGAGTATGCAAGAGCGATATTTTATCATTCTGACAAGTAAGTCTAAAATCGATAACTGATTACTCGGACACCCTGTGAAAAATCGATAATCGACTTTTCTGACAGGAAGCAAAAGTTAGTTGATGTTGATCAAATTGAAAATTAAGCAAAGTTTGATAATTCACTTGAGTACAACCAATAATCAATGATCGATCGTTCTAATGACTAAAAATCGATAATTGACCATTGTGGCGTCTAACCAAATGTAATTATTTTAACAATCAACCAAAATCGATATTCGACTGTTCGGAAAAGGCAAAAAATCGATAAACGAACTCTCCATTGATATTATTGCTAATTGTTTACTGTGATCCATACACTCACAAGCAATTTTTTATCAATTCGAATTTTATAACATTTTAGGGTGTCATCATATTCTGGTTCTGTCACTTTGCTTCGTCCACTTGATGCTGAAACTGATACTTCGTACACGCTCCAGGTTTCTACGGCCGAGGTGACAAAAGTTCTCAACTTTTTCTTTCTATCTTTGGAGTCTACACAACGTATTCTAGGCGGCTGGTTTGGCCATTGATCCATCGATGGCACATTTTGTTTCAATCACCGTTCATGTGGGAGATGTGAACGATTGGATTCCGAACTTTGAACTCACCAGCTATAATTTTATTGTTCAAGAAGATACAATGCCTGGTACTATAATCGGTCAAGTTGCTGCTTTCGATCAAGATAAACAGGTGGAAACGAAAAAAATGCTTAAGCCGCTGAGCTAATAAAGGGTTTGCTTGAATCAGGACCCCAATAATCGGATACGGTACCGGTTGGTTAGTGCAGGAGGATTGGAACAGCATTTTTCTGTAAATCCGGAGACTGGACTCATAACATTGGCACTGCAAGTGGACGAGTTTGCTGGAGAGAAGATTACGGTAAGTATTCATTCGCGTTGATTCTAAAGAAAACTAGCTTTTTCAGATGGTTTTTCTAAATCATGACTTTGACCTAGATAATGACAAAATTTGTTAGTTTTTCAGCTGCTATTTCTTTTCAATCTTCCTATTTATACTATGGGGGCAGCGGAGAGAGGAACGGAATTGAAGGCTAGAAAAGGAATGAAAGAGGAGGCGTAGAAGGAGAGGGGATCGTGGATGATAGAAAACCAAACTGGCTTTCTCATACTAAGCATTTTTCTTAAAAACAGAATAGTTGTGAGATTGCTTGATTCTAGTTGGCCTACAATGCAAACTGAAGTTATTTTTTACCTCTCCCTTTCTTTTTTCGTGACACTTACGAAAAAATGTATAGATTACCTCTGGTTCAGATCATCAATTTCAGCTTCGCATCGAAGCATCCGATTCGGGTGTTCCTGCCCAATCTTCCATGACCAGTGTGCTCATCGACGTGGTGCCTACTACTTCACAGGTACAAATTTGGGTGCTAAATTTTTAATATCTGAAGAAGGTTGCGATATTCAGGTCATCCCGAATGCAGTACCATTCTCCAATAAACCTTCGGAAGGATCCTTGCAGTTTAGCTTGAGAAATTACACGTGTGTTATCAACATTTATTTTGATTCTTGAGTTTCTGATTTGAATGGAAGAAAAAGTCAGTTTTCAATTAGTCATGTTGGTGGCGAAATTCTTAAGTCTACATGAGTCTTAAATGTGAATATTTTTCTAGTCTTGTATCGTGAAAATTCTTCTACAAGGTTAACCGCCTTCGTAAATAAATTTTTGGAACGCTCACTTTTTTTTCAGGCATTGAGAGTAGGCCAGAAAATTTTTTAGATGCATTCCAAAAACTTTTTTTGGAAAATGTGTCTCAGGACTGTCATATTCCCTCCCCTCTCCCCCCCCCTCTCCGCCCTTTCCACCCTATTGGCAGCCACTTTGACTTTCTTCTTACAAATGCATGCTTTTTTAGAGCGTCAGTTTCCGAGTCCGTGCGACCACCGAACCTTGTCCAAGTTCTGTCAGTGAACAATAAACCTACAGACACACGATTCATCACATGCAATATTGTCAGTGGAAATTATCGCGGTAAGTCCTTTCTTTGGCTTTTAGAAACTTCTCAGTCATACTTTAAAAAGGGTTTTTTTAAACTCTATAAAATTTAGCGAGCTCTTGTCGATTTAAATGATAACTTAACTTATCGCCCTTGTCGTTCCAGGAGCATTCAGCGTTTCAGCTGGGAATGATGGAAATTGTGAACTAAGGACGCAAATGGAGTTGGACAGAGAAAGCGTTGAACGGTGAGTAATACTGTGATCAGACTGAGTACTTAGCTTCAAATCTCGCCCAGCATCGTATCGTTTCCAAACTGACCAATCAGCCACCTGAGTACGGTAGTGGGTAAATAGATTTTTTCACCAAGCGTTCACTGTTTTTTAGGGTTATATAGCAATTAGTTTGACAGCGCTAAATAACAAGTATTATCGTTACAGATGTGATAGATCACTACGTCAGTAGATAAATTGTTTTTTTAGGTATCTACTTAATATTACCGTAACCGCTGGTAGTGAAACGGACTTCGCTTTGGTTTCTGTTACTGTACTTGATGTCAATGACAATGCGCCTCGATTCATCTATGACAATGATCTTGGCCTTTCTACCTACTTTGCTGGGGTTTCCTCAACGGCTGGAGCATTCACCCGAGTCCTTACCGTCAAGGTAGATCTATTGATTTGCTAATATGCGTGAATTCATGTAAAAAAGCTTTTTTAGGCTGAAGACGCTGATCTTGGTAACAGTAGCTTAGTGAACTACGCATTGGATCCACTATCATTGCACTCAAAATACTTTACCGTAAGCCCAACAGGCGAAATCAGCACAAAGCAGAGCATGTCACAACTCCTACAGAAAACTCGTATCAGTTACTTTGAGTTGAGGGTAAGCAAAAAAAAACATCTTTTTTATGACTAACTTGGCTAACCCGGCTGCCCGGGCCCTGTCAATAATATATTTCGAAATCAGCATGCTCACTTACCCCCTTTGCCAACTCCCAGCCTCGTAGCTCAAATTTTGCAAAAAATCGATAAAATCGATAATCGATATCGTTCAATAACGAAAGGTAGTCCATGATACCCGCCCCGTTTCGAAGTGTATATGTGCAAAGAAGTCTGGTAAGATTAGGTAAAACTAGAATTTCAGGTATCCGCTTGTGATTCACCGATTGCTGGACAGCAGTTATGCTCGAAAGCTGATGTTGTTATCAATGTCATCACAGAATCCCATCGATTCCGCATGATAACAAGTGGTTTGAATCCACAACAATTGAGAGCTCATGAAAAGGTTTGAAGCCCCCTTCCCTCTCCCCCCCCCCTGTTATCTCAAAATGCCAAGAAATTTCAGGATATGATCAAGACTGTGCGTCAGTTTACGGGTGCTTGCACGTTGTTAAGCATAGAAAGTATGGTAGAGCAACCTTCAACAGACAATCAGGTAATGGGCGACAAAAGCTTGAAGATTTTAATTTTTCCTGTTTTTTTGTATTCGCTGAAATACTGTCAAAATTTTCGCGGCAATTCTGCGAAACTTCCAAAAAATTGGCCAAAAGTTTCGCGGAAGTTCCCCGGAACTTAGATTGTTCGGAAGTTTCCCGAAAAATCCGCGACACCTTCGACTTGCGTTCTGGTGATACCTCACAATTTGAAAACTTATTTTTTTAGGCTCGCACAGATATCTATTGGTATGCTGTGAATCCTAGCACGAAGAAGATTTGCAAAAAGCAAGAGTACAGGTAATTTTAGGCGTTTCAGGCGGGAAGCAGCAATTTGAAAAAAAAGGAATTTTTTTCTAGAAAACTTTTCGAGACATCATCTATGGCAATGGTGGCCGGCAAAGTTCAACCATGGTTCCGATTAGAAAAAATTGCTGAAGACGTTGTGGACGATAATGATACAGCTGGTGGTATGCTACCTGGCAATTGGAAAACTGCCAGTATAAGTAAACCATTTCCTTCTTTTTCTTTTGTGGAAAAATCAAGTAAAACTCGAATTTTTAGTGTTGATCGGTTTGGCAATTCTAATCGCTATCGGCGCTGTGATAGGAATTTGTGCAGTATGCGTGTTCTGGAGTCGATACAGGGTAGAATTTCAACTTTTTTCTCCATTTTTTTAAAAAAACAAAATTGTATTACTCACAGATGTCACAAAGCAGTGTGCACTCATTCAATCCGCATGGATATCCACAAAAACTTGGGGCTGTCTTCTTGCCTAATGCCCCCAACGATCTTCGACACGACAAAATTTACGAGACCCAGGTACTGTCGCTCAGTTCCCGTCATCCGACCAAATAATCCCCATTCAAAGACAACCTCAATTAGAGAGCCATTTAACCTCTAAGAGAGCGGCCATAGTTGACGGTAACGATTGCCAAGGTGGCTGGGGTGCTAGATAACGCATAAAACACACAGAGTAGTCAGAGACTAAGTGGTCTTAAAACGACCGGCATTCTCGTCAAACGTGCTGGTGACTTATGGACGTTCCCTAAGTTTAGTTGACTGCACGGGATCGCCCGGGCTAAACGATCGCGAGCGTATCTCTTGCGGGTTAACATTGGCATTCGCGCGCATGAGTCATCATAGTCCCCGTACTCCAGCCGCGTTGCAGGCACGCTCGCGTGCGCTCAGCCTACAGCGATCCGGGCGTTTTGCAGTCGACATTACTCCTAAGGCAAAGGAAAATCAAATTAAGACTTATTGTGGTAGGTGACGTACATTTGCATACTCAAAGAGAAAAGGATGGCTAGTCGAAATGGCCTCTTGGAATGAGGTGTAAATTTTTTTCGGAGGACATAGAACGCTGATTTTGAATGTGTCTTCCTTATCTGTAGAACATTTCTGCACGAGAAGTAAGCGTTTATCAGTTTAGAAAACTAGTTGTCCATATAGCATAAGAACGCTCGTGTTTCTCCCAGCACTTGAAGGCAGTGTCCCACCAGACTAGGGTTATCTGGCTCTCGTAGTAGTGTAATAGTAGATCCCCTAACTAAGCGACGACAGAAGTTTGCAGCGCAAAAGGGGCTTTACGAAGTCTACAAATCGCCCCTCAAGTGGCCCGAATTTTAAGGTAAGCTCGGGCGAGTGCGAGATGGATGCAAGGTAGAGACGGAGTGGTTGTGGGACCCTGCGCTCATGACTGTGTGCGCTATACGCACCCTGGCCTTGCAAATCGATATTGCCGTGTGGGCGGCGTCCGGGCCTACCGTAAGGTTCGGGCCATTTTCTTTCAGGCGTGGTAGACCCCCTCCTTCGCTCCAAACTTCAGTCATCGCCTACGTAGGGGGTCTACTATCACATTATTACGAGAGCCAGATACCCCCAGTCTGGTGGAACATTGCCTTTAAGTGAAGCAGTGATGATCATCATCTAATTTCAGAGTACTTGGTGCGGTAAACACTTTTGAATCTATCATGACTTATAATAACGGGCTAAGGATGTTTACGTACTTTGTGTGTGTGTGTGTCTGTCTGTTACGAAATTCGTGAAGCGTGTTCCATCCAACGTTCTAAGCCCAAACTTTGTATAGCGCATGCTACCTTCGTGATAGTCCAACAAGCAAAAGCACGAGTACATTCGTTGAGTGGATCCCTCAGAATTTGCGCGCCAAACGGGTCCACCTGGCTTCTGCACCGCAAAAGTCGGTCCGTATCACCACTTTTTGCAGATTCGTGGATGAGTTTGGTAAGCAAATGTGCAAGCGATGGAGTTTAGCCAGAAAAGTGGTCGAAAGTTTACTACATAACGAAAACGGCGCCATAACGAATTGGTTGTGTAAATGGTCAATTTGCCAAGGTTCTAGCTAAGCGTTTGAGAAGATTTTCGCACAGAGATGTAGCTCACGGTTATCGTTACCTTTATGGCGACTACCAAGTCATGACAAACCCAAAAACCTATTCAAATTTGCGTTTGTCTTCCTGCGAAAAGTTTCATCCACTTGAAATCACCGATCTCACGTGAAAAGATTTTATAAATGAGTGGTTGTTTACATTTTATTCGTGGTAGTCGGCATAGTGCGGTGAGTTCCACTGCCACGATTTTACGAGAATGAATAAGGCACATAGATAGTAGAGCCAGTGCGAACCTCTGCGAAGCAGAGGTGACGCACTGGTATATATACAGGGTGTCCCAAAAGTATGTATCGAACGTTTGATCGTTAATATCTCTCTTCCCAAGAAGTCTTTTGCCTTGCTTCAAGTACCATTTTGTAGAGCTAGCTTCAACTTAGATTTGCATTATAGAACGAATCACTCATTCCTCTTCATTACTGTAGGATTACGGTAGAAACTTCAAAGAGGGTTTTAAGCAATGAAAGGCCATATTTTGCCTTAGAAAGGAAATAAAACAGCCTGAAAGTTTTCACACTAGGCTAATTAGAGTTGCTGATTATAACTGTAAAGTTCCCAACTTATTATGATGCTTCATTGAGGAGTTATGCCAGGTAAGAGGTAGCGGCCATTTTTTCAATGTTCCTAAAAAGTGCGATTACACCGTTTAGAAAGCTTTGTAATCTTGTGAATAGTTGAGTATTGAACTCAGCATCCATAAAAACCCTATTACACAAGTTTTCACAATTTTTTGAAGAATTTTGGAACTGCAGCTTTTTCCACATTGACACCATATGTTTCAAGTTTCTACCGTAATCCTACAGTAATGAAGAGAGATGGGTGATTCGTTCTTTAATGCAAATCTAAGTTGAAGCCAGCTCTACAAAATGGTACTTGAAGCAAGGCAAAAGACTTCTTGGGAAGAGAGATATTAACGATCAAACGTTCGATACATACTTTTGGGACACCCTGTATAAAACTCAAACACTGTACCGTGTTTGTTAGGATGTTTGTGGCTTATAGACTCCTTTGTATGTGAACCAAAGAGGCTGAATTTTGTTTCCCTATAAACAAGCCACGGCGCAAAAGATAGGCTACTTTTTTCGACAATTCGCTGGGTCCTTCTATCGATTTATTGATTTGTTGCACTCTCAGTAAGGGAATGAAGCTTATCAGCAGCTATTGCCGAACCATTCCTACACTTATGTAAACAAGAGCAGTACGATCCATTGTGAACTTTCGTCATCAAAGCAAGGTCGAAAGCGTTCAGATGTAGGTCCTATATATTCTGTTTAAAACTGCGAGATGCATCTTTTGCGGTGCGAGGTAGTAGTGTTGTTAACGCAAGTCAAAGCCTTTTTCTGATGCAGATGTGAGCCAATCGCTAAGTTACAAGCTGTCTCAAATTGCGTGCCATACTCTAGCGTTGGAACCTCCGGCATGAATTCCAGCCGCATGAGCGTAACTCTCAATCTGAAAGCTTACATCATAATTTTGTTTATTGACTGAAGTCCTTGAGTTTTTTTTCATTAATCTGTTATCCAAATGGCTCACAAGTTGTGGATTACATATCTTTGACGTAGTAGAATGGCTGTTGCTTTGGCTATAAAGGTATTCGCTCTCTAAAGCAAGGACAGTCAAAGAAGCACTTACTTTTGTCGGAGTACGGGAGAGGAGGGTAGAGTGCGGGAGTCAAAACAGAATAACCGATTAGCGGCGAAGTACTAGGAAAAATGATCCTCAGGATAGCAATGGGCGCTACATTATTCGAACGTTCTTCCACCTATATCGCAATGCTTGCTCTTCAAGTTTTTTCACGTCTTCCATGTTTCAAAAAGAAGAGAGACAATGCTGTTGAGTAAAAGTGTACACATTTTATTTTTATTTTTTACACAGTTACTACAATGCCGCCCAAGAGATCTCATATCGGAAGCGTCGATCCCAGAGCGAAGAGAATGAGGGAAGTACGAGCGGGAGAAACTTCCGAACAGCGTGAAGCACGCCTTGCAGCTAGCCGTACAAGAATGTCTCAGTCGAGAGCAAATGAAACAGCGGCAGAGCATGAAGCGCGACTCAGTGATTCCCGTCAAAGGAACTCTCAGTTGAGATCTGCGGAGACGCCGGAGCAGCGTGAGATGCGATTGAGTTATATCCGAAATCGAATGAGTGAGATGAGAACTTCTAAGACGACGGAACAACATCTCATCCGACTCGAAGACAGTAGATTGAGAATGGCTGAACTTCGAGCTGCTGAGACAGAAGAAGAACATAATGCTACACTGGAGGCAAGACGCAGAATGGATGCTAGCTCAAGAGCCGGAGAATCATTATCGCAGCGTAGTGCGAGGCTTGAAGAAATGCGATCCAGGGTTCGTGATCTGCGAGCAGCGGAATCTGCTGAACAACGTGAACTTCGGCTAGAATCTGATAGGCAGCGTCGAAATCACGCACTCCAAGCACATAGATGGGCCGATTTAAAGATGGCGGCCTTCAACTACACACCCAGTCAAGACTTTTCTCTTCATCCAAAAGTGATCATCGGAAAAATGGATGTGGTTTGTAGGTTTTGCCAAGCTAGAAAATTTGCGGCAGAGGCACCAGGAATGTGTTGTTGCAACGGTAAGGTGCAACTACCGCCTCTAGAGAGCCCTCCTGAACCACTGCTTTCGTACATGGCAGGTATGACGTCAGAATCAAAACATTTTTTACTAAATATTAGAAAGTACAATGCGTGCTTTCAAATGACTTCTTTCGGATCCACTGTACCAGTTAATGAAAGTGGCTTCATGCCAACATTCAAAGTGCAAGGCCAAATATATCACAGGATAGGGTCGCTGCCCCCGTGCCTAACGAAAATCACAAGTTTCTACAGCTTTACTTTGTATCTGATGAGCAGTTACAGACCAGTCGCAGATGTGCAAATATACCCGGGACTAGGGAAGACATCGTCTTGAGTCTGCAAAGAATGTTGCACCAGTGTAATAACTTGGTGAATTTATTCAAGATGGCTTTGGAAAGTATGCCAACGGATGATTACAAAGTAGTCATTCACGCAGACAAAAGGCCAAACAATGAGCATGAAAGGCGTTACAATTCTCCTACCGTTAACGAAATTGCAGTGGTGCTGGTTGGAAGCGAATCTGATAGGCGTGACATTATCATAAAGAGAAGGAGCGAAGCCCTACAACGCATTTCTGAAACGCATAGATCCTACGACGCTCTACAGTATCCACTTATATTTTGGCAGGGACAGGATGGATACCACTTCAGTCTCAGACAAGTAGATCCTGTGACGAGCACAGCTACAAATAAGAAGATCTCAGCAATGGAATATTACGCATACCAGTTAATGACAAAAGTTGGGTCATTCAACCACATTTTGAAATGTCGGCAGCTTTTCAATCAGTACATTGTCGATATGTACGCAAAAATAGAGACAGAGCGTCTTCTGTACATTCGGCTGAATCAAAGAAGACTGCGGATGGAAGATTACATTCATTTGCGCGACGCTGTAGTTAATGACGGAAATGTGAGTGATGTTGGGCAGCAGGTAATTCTTCCAGCTACTTTCACTGGCAGTCCAAGGCAGATGCATGAATATGCACAAGATGCGATGTCATACGTTCGCACTTTTGGACGCCCTGATCTCTTTATAACTTTTACATGTAATCCCACATGGACTGAAATTACAGAGGAGCTCTATCCAGGTCAAGCTCCCGCCGACAGAAACGATCTAACAGCACGCGTATTCAAACAAAAATTGATCAAACTCATTGATGTAATTACTAAAAGCCACGTGTATGGAGAAGTGCGCTGTTGGTTGTACTCAATTGAGTGGCAGAAAAGAGGACTCCCACATTCTCATATACTGGTGTGGTTGAGAGAAAAGATTCGTCCGGGGCAGATAGATGACATCATATCAGCTGAACTGCTAAATCGTGAGGAAGATCCAGTCCTATTTGACGTTATCTCCAAGAATATGGTTCGGCCCATGTGGAGCATTGAACCCTTTGTCACCATGCATGAAGGATGGGAAATGTACCAAACATTACCCCAGGCAGATGATTCGAGAAACACAGACTGGCCATGATGGATACCCTCTTTATAGAAGAAGAAGTCCAGAAGAAGGAAATCATACAGCGAAAGTGAGGTTGAGGATAGACGATCAGTTTAGAGAAATCGACGTTGACAATAGGTGGATCGTACCATATACACCGCTTTTTTCCAAAATGTTTCGAGCCCATATCAACGTTGAGTACTGTGAATCAGTGAAATCCATCAAATACATTTGCAAGTACGTCAACAAGGGCGGCGATATGGCTGTATTTCGTCTTGAGGGCAGGAGCAACGTGAATGACGAAGTAACGCAATATCAGATGGGAAGATATATAAGTAGTAATGAGGCGGTGTGGAGGATTTTGAATTTTAGAATACACGATAGATACCCAGCTGTCGTTCATCTAGCCGTGCATCTTGAGGGCGGGCAAAGGGTTTATTTTACATCTGATAATGTAAGAGAAAGAGTTGCTAATCCTCCCAACACAACGTTGACTGCCTTCTTCCAATTGTGTCAGGAGAATGCGTTTGCTAGAACACTGTTATACCCTGAAGTGCCAAAGTACTTTACTTGGGACAAAAAAACAAGAAAGTTTCATCCAAGGAAGCAGGGCACTTTAGTACATGGGCAGCATGGAGTTCGCGCATCAGATGTCATAGGGAGAGTGTATACTGTTCATCCACGCAATGCTGAGTGTTACTACTTGAGGCTTCTACTCCACACCATTCGCGGACCTACTTCGTTTGCAGCATTGAAAACTGTAGAAGGAGAACAATGCCAGACGTTTAGAGAAGCCTGTCAAAGACTAGGTCTGCTCGAAAACGACGAACATTGGGATACGACACTGTCAGAAGCAGCACTCACATGTTATGCTGAGCAGTTGCGCTGTCTTTTCGCTGTCATCATAACAGCGTGCAACCCATCAAATCCGCGAACTTTATGGGACAAATACAAGGAGCATCTTAGTGAGGACATACTTAGAGAAAGACGCAGAAACACTTCATTGGACTTGCAGTTCTCTCCGGAGATTTTTAATCAAGCTTTGATTCTCATTGAAGACAAATGCATGTCGATTAATGGACGTACCTTAGCTCAACTAGGCTTGGAAAGCCCTAATCGCGGCGACAATGTCTTAGACGATGACGTCTTAAGGGAAAGAAATTATGTCGCTGCGTATCTCGAAAGATTCGTGGAAAGCAACATACTTTTGCTTACGGAAGATCAAAGGGTGGTGTATGAGACGTTGATGAATGCAGTCACTGAGGGTGCTGGAGGGATGTTTTTTCTTGACGCCCCCGGAGGAACGGGAAAGACATTTCTCATCAATTTGCTACTGGCAGACATTCGAAGACGAGGGGAAATCGCTGTTTTGGTAGCATCATCGGGAATTGCATCCACGCTACTACAAGGAGGTCGAACGGCTCATTCTGCGCTCAAACTACCCTTGGATTTTACATCAACAGAGTATCCGATATGCAACATAAGCAAAGGCTCTGGGAAAGCTCAAGTACTGCGGTCATGTAAACTCATCGTTTGGGATGAGTGCACATTGGCGCATAAGAAAGCGCCTGAAGCGCTGGACCGCACTTTACAAGATATTAGAGAAAACGATCGACTAATGGGAGGATTGGCTGTACTCTTAGCCGGGGACTTTCGACAAACTCTGCCTGTCATTCCCAGAGCTGCAGCGGCAGATGAACTAAACGCTTGCCTCAAGTCCTCTGTGCTTTGGAGACATGTGCAAACTCTGAGATTGACGACGAACATGCGTGTGCATTTATTAGGAGATATCGGTGCAGAAAGATTTGCACAGCAGCTTTTGACCCTCGGTGATGGCACTTTCACGACACTTCCTCACACAGACATGATAAGATTTCCATCAGACTTTTGCAACTTAGTGAGGTCTCTTGAAGAACTAATAGAGAACGTCTTTCCCAATATTTGCGACAATTACACGAACTACACCTGGCTCTGTGAGCGTGCTGTCTTAGCGTCCAAGAATGACTGCGTGGCTTCTATAAACATCCGTATACAAAACAATCTTCCTGGCTCCATCTTCACATATTTGTCCATCGATAGCATTGTTGACCAGGATCAAGCGGTGAACTATCTTGTAGAATTTTTGAATTCTCTCGAGCCTGCTGGATTCCCGACACATGAATTGCAGCTGAAAATCGGATCTCCCATAATGCTGATGCGCAATATTGACCCACCAAGACTGTGCGTGAAAAATCTGATGCCTCATGTCATCGAGGCGACTATATTGACTGGCACATCTAAGGGAGAACCTGCGCTTATTCCGCGCATCCCCTCGAATTCCACTAACCTGCCCTTCGAGTTTAAACGATTACAATTCCCGGTGCGGCTTGCATATGCAATGACCATAAATAAGGCGCAGGGACAATCCCTAAGAGTAGCAGGAATCGATCTAGAACACCCCTGTTTTTCGCACGGACAACTTTACGTAGCCTGCTCAAGAGTTGGATCGCCTAAGGATTCATATATCTACGCACCAGAAGGAATGGCTAAAAACATCGTATACCAGAGCGCTTTGCATTAAAAGTGTAAAACGAAGTAAAGGTAAGCACAATAGTAACTCGAGCTTTTCTTTTCAAAGTTTGTTTCATTTTCAAGAGATGTGCTACAACCTATGAAGAAAAAAAAGAAATGAGAATGCGTTACAGTTTTTGATTTCTTACCCCTATATTATGCACTTTTCTAGATAATTTCATTTGAACAAAACCGTTATGGAGTAAAATTTTGTCTCTACACTTTTTATGGTTTGCTAACAAACTTCATTGATACACTACTGCTTTGAGTGTCACATATATCCAGACAGTGAACTCTAAGTGATGTTATCCCGGGCAAGGCCGGGTACGACAGCTAGTTGAATATATCACACTTCGTTGCCTCAAGCAACGGACGCCACGTTGAAGCACGGCAGCTATTTGTAGATATCAGTTTCGCGCTGTGTGCCAAGACTTTAACGTTCGCGCAAAATTGTTTACCGTAATAATGAACCAGTAATTAAAGGTGCTAGACTGCATCAGCGCGCTTCGGAACCACACCGCGGTTTCTCGCTATCTGATGTTTTTTTAGACTGGCGTTACGATTCTTTATATATTAGAGATTTATAACGCGTGGGATCATGCTTCTCTAGTGACCTATTCTCAACAGAGCCCAACAGGTTGGCTTAATCTCTTATGTAGACTAATCCACTGGGTTCGTTGATGAACACAGCCACAGGTTTCGAGGAGCAACCTTCATCGCGAGTCGCTACGGATTGCGCGATATACAGGGTGTCGCACAAAAATATGTGCTTACTATTTGATTGTTGATAAGTCTCTTGTTATGAAGTCTTTGTAAAGCTTCAAGTACTATTTTGTAAAGTTGGTTTCAACTTAGATTTATAGTATGAAGTGAATCACTATTTCTCTTCATTACGTAGAATTACGGTAGGAACTTTTGGCATATGTTATCACTGTGAGAAAGCTACTTTTCCATAATATCTTGAAAAGAATCTGAAAACTTGTGTGATAGAGTTGATAGAGTTTTCAATGACGGTGAGTTCAATACTCATCTTTGTACAGTATTCTAAGCGGTTGAACCACATTTTTTAGGAACATGACGTCTGCTACTACTTACCTAACATAACCTTTAGGAAAGCGTCATGATGAGTTGCAAACTTTATATTTAGAATCAGCAACATCAATTGTGCCTTGTGTGAGAGTTTACAGTTCGCTTTGTTTTCTCTTCAAGACGAAATTTGGCCCTTCGCTGCTCAAGCCTTCTTCCAAGTTCTTACCGTGGTCTTACTGTAATGAAAGATCGGTGCTGTATTCTATACTGCAAAATCTAAGTTGAAGCCAGCTCTACAAAATGCTGCCTTAAGCTTTTCTAAAGACTCCTGACAAGAGAGTTATAAACAATCAAACAGTGGGCGCATTTTTGGGACACCTTGTATATTGAGCAAAGAGTTTAGTAAAGTATTAAATGCTGAGTAGTAACGAACACCGTTTCTCGGAACAACGTATATATTCCGTGAAACCATAATATTACTCTTACAATCTTCTTTTGGCCTTTGAGAATACAATAAAGCTGTTTTTAGATGTTGGAAATGCCCATATCAGACGAAGATCTAACGATGAAAAGCGGTTCCGAAATGAGCAGAGGCATGGGCTATAACAATTACAGTAGACGGCAAGGAAGGTATGTCACTCCCTTTCAAAAGCGCATCGCGTCGAAAACTCAAACTTTATTTTCTAGTGTTGCCTACGAAGGAGACTTCAGCATTGAAGAGAACATGTACGCGCTCAATGTTCCCGGTCGAGTCGATCCAGTAACAAAGTGTGTCTTCAATTATTGATTCCAAAACTGATTCGAAATCAGGGGCACTCTGATCTCAGGGCACCTGTTGTCTTTCAAATCATTAAATCAGTTTTCACTATCCTTCTCTTATTAGACTAGATCTTTACTATCTTCTTTCCTTACACATAAAGAACGTGTATAATATTTCAGTCAAGTAATGTTGCCAACGAATCTGCCAAGAGGTAAGTTGCTATTGACTAGCCTTGAGTTCGCTAACATGCCTGTACGCTTTTGGTTAGAACATTCATCCACTGGAACTAATAGAATCCGTCAGTTCAAATACACTCCTCTAGGAGGCTGGAAGCACAGAAAAAGAAACAGTAATGCTTTCTGCCGAGTCGTTCGCAATTATGTTGTATCGCAAATAACGCGGGATATTCTACTTCTTGTGCCAAAAAATGCGAATTTCTGGATCCTCTTATTATTAAATTGCAAGTAGGCGCAACTCTTGTTTCAACCGTTGGTTCCTTTTAAATGCTCTCTTGCATAGCAAGATATCGTGAGAAGCAACACGCATTGTAGAATCCCCCACATAAGTTGCAAATGACTCTTCTATAGATTGCAATACACTTAATTGCAAGAATGGAGTGCAGGCTTTATGAGCCAATAAACCTGTAAGAGCAAAGTTTTGTCTATCTTTTCAGTGAAACCAAAACACATCTCTTACCTAACTACTTCCAGCACCTTCTTCGCACCTATATAGACGCATTATGTTATTTGAAAGCTTGGCTTAGTTGCTCACTAATCATATCAATATTCTCAAAAAATGTGTTGTAGGAGGATACAAAGCCTCGTGATCCCTGCACCAGACTACCCGTCAACTCACCGTTCTCATCATAATAAAAGTCTCTTGTAGCTATATCAAAGCTGGTCAAATCTCATTATTTTCCATATATGGCCATATTGCTGTTTACATATGTTTTATGCGTAAACATGGTTTACACAGAATCTCGCAGGTGCTTTTTATCTAACTTTTCCTTTGCCCCCACCACTTTGTTGCTCGTAAACTGAAAGCGTTTCCTGCAACTTCGTGCAATTCATTCATTCTAAGGCTCAAGTACGTCTTTCACTTCAGTCATATTTATCTCAACTCCATTCAACATGTTCTTTCCGAATAGTACGATGCGTTTTTTTGAGTTGTAAGTATGATATACTTGCGCATTATTGTTGTTGTTTCTCATTTATCAAATAAATCTCACCACAGAATGACTACAATAATTTCGTCATTTTCGTCATTTTTCTCGAAAGATTCTGAAAGGATCAGTTGTATAATCGAAGGCTTGTGCCGTCCTTATGCGTTGCATTAATCATACCATTCCAGAGTTTCATGCGTTACGATAATAACCGTTATTCTTCCGGAACCATGAAGGGCTCTAAATCTTAGTTTTCTCCTACCTCCACTTTTGCCAAGAACATGTTGCTTTAAGAAGAGGAAGGTTTTATTGCGAAAAGCAAATGTACAATAAACATATGCATAAAGTCTACCGCCACACGAGGACGTAATTCCAACTCCAGCTGAGCGGTCGCGAATGCAGTGCGCTGGCGGCTACTGTAAGTCCTGCGCAATATGTGCCCTATGGGTAAATAAACTGCATTCAGTCCTCTTGTCCTCCCTCCGTCTGTCGCCCGACAACAGACTTCAATCTGCAGGATTTCTTCAGGCGCTAGCTACTAACTGGATGCTTGGAGAATTAGCGAGTCAGGAAAACATTGCTAAAAAGCACAAAGAGCAAAGAGGGGTCAAATTGTCAACAACTGGATGCTATGCGCAATACGTGCAGTTTGTTAACAACTAACAGCTCATAAAGGGACTTCTATGATATCTGAAGTGACTGAGCTGAGCGCTGAAGTCCCAATTGTTTGAGTGTTATATGCTCTTGTGGGGGCGCTAACATATGAGATTGTTGGCTAGTCGAGCACTTTTGAACACATTGACGACGGTTCGGTCCACATATTTGTTTGGATCAGCTATTAAACGATATGCAAGAAGCATTCAAAAGAAAATGAAGTGACAAACCTCATCGTGATGGTATCGCTGAGCCGGAGATAGTTTTGGAAGATTTTTACGAGATCGTTAGCTAAATGTTGAAGGCTAATAAGTGTAAAGTCGAAGTATTAAAGTAAATACCTCTGCCAGGGAGGAGGTGAGGTAAGGGTGCAGTCTATACCAGCAAGAATTTTGAAGTTTGTCTAAGCTCGTATGCGAAAACATGTTTCAAGCAACGTCGACTGATTCAAGGGCACTAATGCTTGCCCATACAGGATGTTCGTTGGTTCTCATCATTTTTCCGCCAAGCACTTTCACACTTGTGACCTGGGGCGCTATGCATCAATCGCCCGTCCGGGTAAGTTACCCTCAATTTTTCATTTTGGGTTGTAACTCGGGCAGGATCAATGAGAGCGTGTAGACGCATACGTAGTTTGCCTGTTGACGGATTTTTGAAGTGGCCTCATTCGCGCGGTTTTTTGCATTTCTTCGGCTTACAGCTCATTTTTTGCACTCTTCTTTTTGAATATCACTCAGACATCCTAAGAATGTTGCGCAGAAGTTATTCGATGTCGATTTTTCAAAGTTTTTCGCTGATGGTTCATAAATTTCAGTACATCCGCGACTTCATGGAACAAAATCGCTGAAGAAAGTTCAAAGACTGGACATCAGCGGATTCGAGGTTCCTTTGCGGCTCGCTAACCCATCTGAAAAAGCCCGGTATTATCTTGAAGAGCAACTCGACTTTCCAATCAAAGAGGGAGAGTTCAGGGAGAAGTGCTAACGCCGGCCTTTGGCAGGACAGGCACTATTATTTTTGATTATTGGTGAGCGCTGTTTATCTTAGTTGATTCGTATTTCTATGATATTTTCATTCGATGGTGGCCGTGTATCCGGTCACAATATCGTGTTACTTGTTTTGATTCGCTGGAAGTGGTCGTCTTGAAATGAACAAAACCAAGTTTTTCTTTCATGACTATGCTTTTGTTACATAAACGTTCTTGCTTTGAATGTCTTTCGTTTTTGCGTCAAATACTAAAAAAAGAAGAGAAGACAGAAAATCGTGATGATAGGACTGAAAAAAGCTTTTGCAGAGTCACTGCTTTTCGTGCAAAAAAGAAAAACAGTGGTCGCGAAAAGGCAGCGACAAGTGGCATTAACAACAAAATGAAAATAAACTGTTTACAAGAAAAACTGAAAGATACTCACTTCATGTCTTATTTGATCATTGCCGGCGTTTGTAGAAGAGCAGTCTAGCGACGACGTAACCAAGTCTAGATAGCAGGTATCAGGAGAACATTCGTCGCATCCGCTACGCATTATTGCCCAAAGCCAAGGAATGAATGGTTATGGATGCATTTCGCAAGGGTAAGTATCCTCGAAGGTACTGGCAGAAAGAATGAGTGGCAGTTGATATGTGCGCCTCATAACGAGAGTTTCTAGAACTTTCCAGACATGTATTAACACGCTTGTCACCTAAGTACCAAAACATGGCAGAAATCATCAATTTGGGCACAAAAACTTAACGAAGATGCTAACCTGAGCACTTGATACAGGTGAAATTTGATGTGGAGGCCTTCCTGAGATTGAACACATGAGGACGGTTCCATTTCCTAAAAAGTGTTCAGTGAAGGGTGGCGGAAAGCGCTGCATGGGGAAGCATGATGAAAATCTGCATGTTGGGTATTTTGGAACTAAGGAGCGCAAGAAATAGGGAAGAACATGATCTTGGCTTGAAAAACAAAGAGGAATTAAATGTATGTCATGTTCAGACATCTAGTGAATTAAGTTAACGAAAACGCGAGCAATAAAAGATGAAGTATCTGTAGAGTAGCCTAGTATAGTGACAGTCATATAGTCATAGACGTAAGACTTACAAGGGAAGTTCGCGGAATCGAAATGGCCGATTGATATGTGGTATATACCCGGGCTCGGGGCTCGGGAAGTTAGTATCAAATATGCAGCCATTAGCTGCGACGCGTTACTCTGGAGCAAGTTACAGCCCCTGAAAGTTTTTGGCGTATGTATGTGTAGCGAAGGCATAGATGCTACCATCGTGGTCGTGTGGTGTAGTGGTTAGTGTCTCGGACTCACAGGTGACGCATGAGGGTTCGAATCCTGTTGCTGTCCACATCTTTTGCGTTCTTCTCAAATTTCATTTTTTACCTGTTTTATGTGTTTTGAGGCAAAAAATGACACATACGCTTGGTTAAACTCTACTAATTATAAAATCTGCGACGTCATCCTCACAAATAGCTCATTAGCAAGAATCAATAGTACGATGTGATACAACTTGGAAATTGTCACGTAAACGCTACGTGCAATCGAAGATAATATGTGGAAGTGAGAATTTGGCAAATCTTCAAAGAAGTTGAATTCCCGTTGCATCAGAGAGACTCAATTTTGAAGCTGCTTTCACTTGTTTATTTCCAGTTCTGTTCGCCGCGTTTCAAAGTTTTCTCGCATACTCGTGGCATGCCGCAGGGTATGTGGACGAGCACCCTGAATCCTTTGAAACGCCGCTACAGTTTTGTTTTCCTTATAATTTGAATACAGCTGTTTGCTGTGAGATAGAAGAAAGCAATGATATTATATTTATTCGTTGTGCGTTGCGAGAACTATCTGTGCTTCAACCATTTTGTCATAGATTATCACATGTGCTCCCAATAGTCTGTTATTTGTAAGCAATTCGATGCGATATAGACTTTTGATAAAGTTTAATTGGTCGACGCAAAAAGTTGCCCGGGAATTTTGCATCTGAAACATTGGTCAAATGTTTGTGAAAAAAATCATCCCGTAAGCCGTATATGTCATTTTTTGCCTCAAAAACACATAAAACAGGTAAAAAATGGAATTTGAGAAGAACGCAAAAGATGTGGACAGCAACAGGATTCGAACCCTCATGCGTCACCTTTGAGTCCGAGACACTAACCACTACACCACACGACCACGATGGTAGCATCTATGCCTTCGCTACACATACATACGCCAAAAACTTTCAGGGGCTGTAACTTGCTCCAGAGTAACGCGTCGCAGCTAATGGCTGCACATTTGATACTAACCTCCCGAGCCCCGAGCCCGGGTATATACCACATATCAATCGGTCATTTCGATTCCGCGAACTTCCCTTGTTAGTCCGCAAACAAGAAACGGAACTTGGGAACAGCACAAGCACCTATGTAACATGAGAATACTTAGCATCCATAAACATCTAAAAACCAAGAACAAGAGAAATCAAAAAAATTGGTAACCAGAGAAATACTCACCTATCCTCACAAAAATTCTCTTCAGTCAAACTGCGATATCTCAATGTTTGCATTAGTATTGAGCAAATCGATCATTTGATGAAAAGAGTTCTGCAATTTAGCTTTCTGAATCAAAAAAGCGTAAGACACAAACAACCCTTCATGCTCAATCTGGTACCTTCTATTTTAGAAAATTCGAGTTGCTCTTCAAGATAACACCGGGCTTTTTCAGATGGGTTCGCGAGCCGCAAAGGAACCTCGAATCCGCTGATGTCCAGTCTTTGAACTTTCTTTAGCGATTTTGTTCCATGAAGTCGCGGTTGTACTGAAATTTATGAACCATTAACGAAAAACTTTGGAAAGTAGACATCGAATAACTTCTGCGCAACATTCTTAGGATGTCTGAGTGATACACAAAAAGAAGAGTGCAAAAAATGAGCTGAGGCCGAAGAAATGCAAAAAAAAACCGCGTGAACGAGGCCACTTCAAAAATGCGTCAACAGGCAAACTACGTATGCGTCAACACGCTCTCATTGATCCTGCCCGAGTTACAACCCAAAATGAAAAATTGCGGGTAACTTACCCGGACGGGCAATTGATGCATAGCGCCTCTGATCTTTTCTGAGAAAAGCTTGCGTGTATGGGAGAAACAATTGAGAAGCATTCAATATCACGCTCGATGGTATACCTCGTTGAGTGAAATCATCTTTTGAACGTACTTTACAAAACATGAGCTTATATCATTTGGAAGCTAATGATAATGAGTATCTTTAAAAGCTCTATGAATAAGTGCGGTTCATTTATTCGCCACGGTTTAATCTGGAGTGAAGCAACACTGTGCCCAATCGTAGAGGATGAAGTTGTTTACAAAGTTGCTCAAATTCTTCAAACATGATACGCAGAAGTTGGAGCACCTCAAAAAGGATATCGACATAGTCAGATGGCAGTCATCAAGAATATTAGTTATGCAGCCTACAAAATTTTTTAGGATGACCATATGATTCCGATAGAAGAGCTCTTTAACCGACTGAAAACAAACGAAGAGACTGTAAGTGCATATTCCACAATATTGACTAGTTGCAAACTTTAGGGTCTGTCCACAGAAGAAGCGAATGAGCGCCTACGAATGTATGGACCAAACACTTTAACTCCGCCTTTTCAGACTCCAGCGTGGCTCAAGTTTCTACAAAATCTTTTTGGTAAGTGACAGATAGTTGCTTCGCGCAGAAGGCAGCACGGAATGTTGCTTCAGAATGAAGAGAGAAATTGTTTACTTCAGTTCTAGCAGATTACAGCACAACGGGCTGTTTATCTCGAAACTACAAATGACGTCGAAATAAGTACCGTAAAGTATTATGTTGTAAAAAAAGTTTTCGGGCAGTTTTAAAAATTTCATTTTTAGGCCCGTTTATTTTCACTCGGTTTAATCCTAACGACAAATATTTCATATGATTTTGTAGAAGAAAGCCAAAATTTCCAGACTCACATCCAGTTTTCATAGGTCAATCCGTTTTGATCCACAAGCTAAAAGAGAAAGTCCGTGCAACGATGTAAATTTCACAGTTTTTCTCTTTGCTGCCATTTTTTCGCAGCGCACAAGAATTAAAAGCTCTTAAACTTGCCTTCAATCGTGACTGTTTTTGCAGTTAACGTCGTTTTCGTGAGGATTGCCACGCCTCGGTGATGGGTCCAAAAGATGTGCAAGACAGTTCACAAACAATATTTGCAGCAATCAAAGATTTGATTTATTTTGTGGCGAGAAGGAAGACTTCAAACTCATTTACTCAAAAATTGGAACATTTTTAGGGTGCAAAAGTAATCGATTTTTCAATTTCAAGAAAAATTTTTTTAGAAGCTGTTATTTGACATTGTGACACAGTCTGTGAACTGCTCCGAGTTCTACGTAATTTACATATCTGAGTCCTCCAGCTCCCTTCGTGGCTGAGAAGTTTCTACACTAACAGGCCGAATTATGAGTCGGCTTTTTTCTCTTCTGCGCATGCTGGTGGCTCTAAATGAAGTTCTGGAATGATATCCACGAAAGTCCATAATGGAGGAAAATGGATTTCCAAAGCCCATTTTCCTCCATTATGGACTGTTTGCAAGACAGTACACCGGTAGGAACTTCGGTAGAAACTGGTCGGAATCTGCTTTCACTAGCGTTATCTAAGAACCAGTGCTTCACCTCTGCTTCGCAGAGGTTCGCACTGGCATCGTGAACCGTAGTAAACTCACTTTCTGAGAGCTTGTCTCTCAAATCATTGTTCGGTTTATTGCAACATGAGCCGTAGTTAAAAATGAACCATACTCGCTATCTTAACCTCACATGATGTTTAGTATAGTAAATCATTCCTCACTGTAATTTCGTAACGGACAAACTCCACACAACTTCAGATTAAGCCGCTTATTATAAGTCATGTTTTTATCTCACCGCAATCACGAGGCAAAGCGGTGTGATGAAAATGATTCAACCCTTCCTGAGCTCTCGCAGGAATCATGCGAAAAGTCCATTTAGAATGGGGCAAAATGGGATTTACCTCCATTTTAAATGGACTTAAAAGCCCATTTTACTCCCAGCAGCAAGGTGAGCTGGGACTAAGCCCATTTTTGACCTTTTTGCACACGTTTGATTGCGATTTTTGAGAATGTGTTCCTTAGGCTATTTTAAGGTAATAAGTGAGTGGAAAAGTTTTACGTCTTTTGTGAAGTCTAAAGTAAGTGATTCTTTCTAAACTCACACAAATGCTAAAAAAATCATGTAAGAAGGGTAAATCACTAAAGTATTCGCTAACAGACTTGAATGTTCTTAAATATCAGGTAGATACGAGAATTTATATGTAAATCAGATAAAGTTTGTTAACTCTTCAAATCATCAACCAAAACTAAATCCATAATTTGTATTCAAAGATAAAAAAAGATTTGCGTTTTAGTATGATTACTCAGAAGCTATCTTTGACTAATCTCGTAGACCGGAACCTCAAAAGCGGCATCTCAAACGCGATTTTGAGTTTCACGAGAATTACTGCAGTGCCGCTAGTTAGCAAGAAAAATTCTGTAAAATATTTTTTACTAGCAGTAGTCCATACATTCAACTACTTAGAGATTTGAACATTAGTGTTGAAAGGTAGAAGGAGTTAAAGTAGAACATTTGCGAAGTCACCTTTTGCAGATTCGTAGTTTTTCCGGCTTAAAAACCCTTTGGGTTGTAATGTAGTACAAGTCCCTATGGGATAAGCATTTTGATCCACAGATTGCAGTGCAACTCTAGCCAAAGTTTGCTTTCTGCAGGAGCTACACATACGAATTTGATTTAATGCAGACCCATAGAAGACTTGAAAAGCGAAGGCCCGAATATCGCATGAATTTTAGTTTTGGAAGTAATTTAGATGCATATTCATCGATATTAGAGCACTTTATGAAGTGTAGCGAAGTGGGAAATAATATAGTACTCACGTGACTGACATTGTCATACATACTAGGCCAGCCTGGTCAGAAATGAACCACTTGGTGAAAATGAGTTTGCAAGTGTGAGTAAACAGGTTGAGACAAGTTGAAGAAAGGTTTGCTGGGGAAGTTTTGTATGGAATGAATGGATTCGCGAATGCTATATCTTATTGCACCGCATGGACTTAGTCCATTTTATTCACACGAAATGCCCATTTCACGGGGACTTTCGTGGATATCATTCCTGAGGATAGCACAAAATAGGCATGCCTTGTAGACAATATTGTCTTTGTAGCAAAGTTTGCAGCTCTCAAAAAGGAGCGGTCTACTTGAAGTTACAGCAGTTTGAAAAAAATCGCAAGTGCCAGAGAACTTTCTTTACAACCTAGCACTTGCTGACCTTGACAATAGAAATATTTGCAAGTACGCGCATTTCTTGTGTCTTTTCTTTAAGAACATGATCTGTGGTAAAATACAATCCTCGCAGAACTTCTTATAGGTTTTGTTAAATTCAATTGCCAGAGCCTCGCTATGAACACCAACTCGGATAATCGCCGGGAGCAGGCGGCCATGCGATTTATGGGCAGGCGGGCACCGGAAAAATAGTTCGCTGATTTCTTGCGGTCCGCTTGCAGATATTTGGAAGAATTTTGCCGTTTAGACGAATGCTCGGAGAACCATCGCGGCTTTTTCATAGATTAGTTGCGGCGCAGCCACATTCTCGCGGACCTTCCGCGAGAATATGCAGATTTATTGAGAGCCGCACCGACCCCGTGGGTACTTCCGCTGAGAGAAAGTACCTAAATTCAGGTATTTAAACCATCGATGACACCTCTGTTTTGAAGAGTGCTATCTTTGCTCGGCGTGCGCCCGAAACTGTAAAAAGACTCAGGGCGCCTACTAAAGTTTGGCTTACCATCGCTGAAAGAGATCATGTTACGAACACTTGCAAAACACTTTGTACTAACTAGTGTCCCCGGTCTCACTCGCGACTTCAATTTGGTTAAGCTGACAGAACGTGCAAACTTACGCCTTTAGATTTCTTCTAACATGTGCATATTAACGCTGTAGGATGAATTGCCGCCCCCTCTCGACTTCAAGATTGAAATTCCCCTGCTTACATGCTTGTATGGAAAAATGATCGGTTGGCATGATAGGAGGCTTCCATTTTTTAAGTTTAAGTGAACAAATTAACATATCGTTGAAAAGGCCAGATGAATCGCTGCGAAAAGTAGCTCTGAACCGCCGCAGGGGTCGAAAACATATGTGTGCGAAGTTTCAGCTCAATTTGTTCAACGGCTGGCGTTTCTATAACGAACGAACAATCAAACGAACATCCTCACAGGCATTGAATTTTATATGTATACTAGCGTGCTTACCCGACTCCGCTCGGCCCTGTCAAAACACTGTAATAAAGGTCCCATATCTCTGCACAGCTTTTTTCTGTATCTCTACACTTCATTTCTCTTTTCCTGCGTTGTTTTCGAAATTAGCATGCCCACTTACTCCCCTGTGCCACTCCCAGCCCCATAGGTGAACTCTGCAAAAAATCGATAAAATCGATATCGCCTAGGACACGTCCGAAGTGCATGTGTGCCAGGTTTGGTCCAAATCAGTTCAAATTTCTATCCCGCACATACGTACGTACAGATAGACGGACAGATATACGGACACACATTCAGCTTTATATATAATATAAGATATATATATAGACTGCTGCCCGCTGGCAGAACACGGAAGTGCCGCTCGCTGGAGGTTTTGCCACGCCCCAATTTTACTGACCGCTTGCAGAAAAGCGCGAGTTTGCGGACCGCCTGCCCCCGCGATTATCTAAGCAGTTTCACAAGGTCTACAGCTTGCAGAAGCAAGATAGAGTCTAGTCAATGATAGGAATCGCGCTAAACTTTTGCATGGTCAATCAAAGATACAATGAATTTCAACATAGCTTAGGCGGAGATTCGACTGGCAGGCATCCGCACCGGTTTGCGCTGTTCCGCAGCTACAGTGTGTCATACTCGTGCTAGAAACCCGTTCTTGGTCTTTTCATCCTCCTGGTATTTGCTTGGCAAGATGTCGTTTGTGCGCTCGCAATGCCTCCAGTGGTGGAGGACATTAGGACACCGAGAGGGGCGGGTTAGGCGGACGTTTGCAACGAACAGCCCTTGCCATGACTGCCTTATACTACCTGTGGCAAAAATAATGGACCTAATGTTTTCTACCGCCTCCAGCGTAATGTACTTATCCAGCCTCCAACGATAAGAAATTGTTGCTCCACGTGACGTTTCGCCTACTCTTGGTTGAAATAGACAATATCAAATGCTTGCTGGATATTTTCGGACTCGGGCATAAATCACGTGATTCCTCTCCTCGCAAACTGACAAAGCCGAATGTCTCTTGCATTAACGCAGAATATTTCTGAGTATATAGCTCGTATCTTTTCCAAACAGGAAGCAGGGCCCGATAGGAGGTGGCAGCAGAATTTTGGACACTTTCCCGCTGACTTCGCAGAAAATTACGACATTTCCTGAGGTGCTAATAGAGGAAGATTAGGAAGGATTGTAGTCATAGTTAAGCAAATTTTAAAATGCATTCGCATTCTCTAAATTAGCGGTACGCTGTGTCATGCGCTCTCTGCCAGCTACAGTACTTTGTTTTCAATTGAATGGCATGAGGCATTCTGAAAAATGTCATATATGCTGATATGGCATGTATATCACTCATACAACTCAACGCAAGAAGTGCATAAACAACACTTTTTTTCCTATGACAAAACCACTAGAAAAAAAACGAGGTTTGTTCGAAGTACATCATCGCAAAAAATAGCTTGAAAATTTTAAAGCGTTTCTGTTGGAGACGGCACCAATTTTCTCTATCATTTGAGACATTGCCAGGAAAAATGTTCATAAAGAAAGGCTACTTTGTGAAACTAGGTACTCCATTAAAGCTCAAATACTGTTTCTCTCAAAAACTCCTGGCACATAGAAAGCAAATCGGCTTGCACTGAATGTTAGCTTATTGGTTTCCCTCTCGGCAGTGGCGTACCGAGAGGGGGCCCCCCTCCCCCTCCCGTGAATGGGCCGCGAAATTTTTGAAAGTTACTTAAATGTGTTATAAAATGGTGTAGAGGACTTGTTTTTACTTGCAAATAATTAAAATAATTTTTATAAATTGAAATTAGCCTTGTAAAAAATTTTTTTGGGGGGGGGGCGTGGCTGACGTCACGCCCCCTTTTTCTGAAACAAACTACATACCGTTAGATGCAGCATAAAACGCTGACTCCAAATCTGCTTTTCTTATCTGCAAAGCCCTTTTGTGGATAAAATTATAACCCTTAAAAGTCATTATTTTGCTAAGAATTGTGCGTGTAAAGCGCAAACTTGGCCATACAAAGCCATTCTTGGCTCAGTATCGGACCAAAACATGTAACTAGGTCACTTCATATGACCCGTACGTAGAGCGCCGAGTTGAGCTAAAAGAGCAATAATGTGCTTAATTTTGCAGTTTTTGTATACGGCTTTTTCGCAGTAAAGCTGCTCATAACTTCGCCTACTAAGGCGCTCTGCAGATACGTAAGGCAGATTTGAAATCAGCATCATAGGCTGCGTCGAATGGTAGGCAGCTTATTGGATTGGCCACTTCGACTTCTTACTATTCCCTTGTGAGATGAGTCGCAAAAGTATGCTAGTATTTTGTTTCAAATTTTAAACTTTCTGATTGAAATTCAACTTGGAAGATTTTTAATGACGCAGTCAGTGGAGAAACTGAGCTTTTGAAAGAGAATGTCACATTCAATATAAATTTACTTTAAGGAGGGTTCAATCTCTTACTGTGGGGTGCTTCCGCTGTCTCACTCGCTGGCTACTTCATAGAACGCAGCGAATATGGAGATGAGGCTAAAGAAGATCAGGTGGACTGAACTCATAGTAGAAACTACTTCGCATAACACGAGTACTGCTGCTATTTTAGTTGTATCTGGCCATAACGTTGGCTACCGTAGTGTCCATAACAGGTATATTTTCTTTCTATCAAGAAGCAAAAAGTGTGAACATTATGAGCACGTTTGCTAATATGATACCGTCAATGGCACATGTAAGAGACTTTGAAGGTCACCCATGTGCTTCATGACAATGATAAGTTTTAGGTTTTGCGAGATGGTAGAGTAATAGATGTCAAAGTGGATGATGTAGTATTGGGAGACATTGTTGACATAAGCGGCGGAGATAAAGTTCCTGCTGACATTAGAATCATAAGCGCAAGAGGTCTTAAGGTAAGCAATGAGCATCATTGACTAGTGCAGCAAATAAAAAGGTTATCAAGGTGGACAACTCATCGCTAACCGGCGAATCGGAACCACAAACGCGCACGGCTGAATTTACCCATAAAAATCCTTTGGAGTCCAAAAATGTGGCTATGTTCTCCACAAGTGTGCTTGAAGGATCAGCTAGAGGAGTAGTTATACTGACTTCCGACAATACAGTACGCAGTCTGACCTTTAAAACCTTATCACATAGATTGAAATTATAGGTTGTGGGTAGAATAGCGGCCTTGACCGCTCAAGTGTCATCCGGACCAACACCTATAGCTAAGGAAATAAACCATTTCCTGCACATCATCACATTCGTTGCTCTTGGTATTGGCGTGACGTTTTTTGTGCTAGCATTCATTTACGGCTCCACTTTGATTCAGGTAAATTTAAAAAAAATGGCCTGGGTTTAACAGAATGACATGCTTTCCCTATACCACAATAAGCTTTCGATAACATGTCTAATTTGAGAACTAGTCATGGGATAGGCGAGAATGGTGCAGGCGATAGTAAAAATAGCCAAAGAAACATAGTTGATCAAAAGAATGAACAGATAATTGATAGACAGGCTTTAACCTTGTTTAACATTGATACACATCTAACACGAAAGAGAATCTATCATGACTTATAATAAAGCGCTAAGCGCCTGTCTGTCTGTATGTGTATGTCTGTCTGTCACGAAATTACAGAGTAAGTTGCAGCCAGCGTCTTAATCTAGAATTTTGGTCATAGCACCCAGTCAGCATGTAGGTAAAATGTGCAAAACCACAAGCCGATCCAGTAAGTGGAACCATCGAAAACTGTGCGTCAAACGGATCCACGCGACTTTTGGCCTGCCAGAATGGGTCGGTAATTGAACTTCTTGCAAAGTCTTGGATTTGTTTAGCAAGTGAATCCAAAAAACATTGACGCAGCTTAAAAAGTAAGCAAAAAGTCTATTTTTACACGAAATTGGCGCCAAAAAAATGTGACTGAGCAAATTGTCGATTTGCCAAGCTTTTACTATAAAAAATGAGAGGATTTTTGAATAGATATGTAGCCCAGGTGGTCTTTATCCTTATGGCGACTATAAAGCCAAAATAAATTCAGTAACTCGTTCAAAATCGCATTTGTTTTTCTGCGGGAAAATTTTTTTCTCCCAAAATTACCGATCTCACATGGAAAAGCGCTAAAAATGAATGGCTGTTTACAGTTCATTCGTGATGTTCAGCATCGCGCGGTGAGTTTCAAAGTCATTATTATGCGATCACGAAGGAGGCATGGATAGTAGAGCCAGTGCAAACCTCTGCGAAGCAGAGGCGACGCACTGGTAAAAAAGAGGAAAGAATCATTCTTAGGAGGAAAGAAGTAGTGTATGAAAACATGGTTGCCAAAAGGCATAGGTCATGATCACGTGGAAGCCGCCAAAAATTGAAGATGCAGTGCTGCTTCAAGTTTATACTGGCTCATAGTAGAGATGTAGACTACGAAGGTAATGGGCAGTAGGACATCCCACGTCCCTTCCAAACAATATAATTAAAATCCTTAGCGCGAGAAGAGTACTGACGCCTTTCTGCACGCTCTTAATCAAAAATCTGGATGTGCACATCTAGAGGTTTACTTCTAGGCGGCTTTGTACTTTATGGGCATAGTAGTCGCCGAGGTGCCAGAAGGTATTGTTGCTACTGTGACGGTGAAAAATTTTTGTTGTGCTTGAAATCTTCCAAACCTAAATTTCTTATTTCGTTACAGGTGTGTCTGACGCTAACAGCCGTGAAAATGCGTAAGAAACACTGTTTGGTGAAGAATTTGGAGGCTGTGGAGACGCTCGGTTCGACATCTACCATATGTTCAGACAAGACTGGAACACTAACTCAGAATCGAATGACGATCACGCATTTGTGGTGATTAACAAAAACGTTTTATTTTCACTCCTGGCGAGTCATGCAAGCAGGTGGGACGGAATGATAGACGAGGCCGAGCAATGCCTGCCGAATGGAAAACTTCGGGGTAGAATAAGGCACAGAATGGAAGGCACATACAAGTTTTTGATCAGATGTGCGGCTCTGTGTAGTAGAGCCTCATTTAAGGTAACCTTCTCGTATGATTTGGAAAATATGATAGATTGAAATTTAGCAAGAAGATTTCTCAATACCTTTGCCTCGTCGTGAAGTCAATGGAGACGCTTCTGAGACGGCAATCCTGAAGTACTGCGAGCTGATTCTTGGTGATGGGGGCACGAGGAAAATGCGAGATAAAAAACCAAAAGTGGCGGAAATCCCGTTCAACTCTACGAACAAATATCAAGTAGGACAAAATCAATTTCTTTTCTTTAGCTATTGTAAGCAAGCGCATAGGTGTCAATTCATGACAATGGCAATCGGTTCTTGTTGGTGATGAAGGGTGCCCCAGAAAAGATTATGAAAGCATGTTCTTCCGTTCTCATTGAAGGAGAAGAGAGAGCAAAGGATAAAAAATTTGAAGTAGACTTCAAAAAGGTAACTTTTTTCCTGCAAACGATGAAGTGCTCACACGAATTCTATCAGGCTTATGAAAAACTGGGTGGATTTGGTGAGCGCGTTCTTGGCTTTTGTGATTTGGAGCTCGATCCAGAAAAATTTCCAAAAAATTATGTGTTTGACACCGATACTCCGAACTTTCCCTTAACGAGTAAGCATTATCTCCGATTTATTGAATAATGGCGCCCATGTACTAGATCTGCGATTTCTTGGATTCATGGCAATGATCGATCCACCTCGGCCTGGAGTTCCACAAGCAGTTCGTTTATGTCAGTCGGCAGGGGTTACGGTAAATGTATTTTTCAACAGGTTTTTTGTGATTTTAAACGATTGGAGCCTCTAAGTAAAACAAAATACAGACTTCTCACCAGCATGCCATTCCCGTTATCTTACATTCTAACAATAACCTAAGTTGGCGCGATTTTTCCTTTTCTTTCTGTTTTCTGTAGGTAGTGATGGTAACAGGAGATCACCCAATCACAGCAAAAGCAATTGCTCGTCAAGTTCACATTATCTCAAGAAGAGCTAAGGTAAGAGATATATGCCTTGGCGCATCTCCAAGGGATTAATTTTGGGTAACCGAGCTCATAGAAGATTCTGATGAGCCAGTACCAAATTTCGAAAGATATGGTGAAGGAAGGTGAGACTATCCATTAACTGCATTTCAAGTTTAGTAATGTAAATAAAGGTTGTTGCCTACGACGGCTATCATAATCCATGGTGAGCAGTTGAAGTTGCTGAGCACAGCAACCCTACACGAAATTGTCAGTCATTATCGGCAGGTAAAAACTGTGCTATGGAAAAACAGTCGACCTCATTCCTAGCCAGGTCGTGTTTTCCCGGACATCACCAGCGCAAAAGTTACAAATCGTAGAAGCTTATCAAAACACGAACAACGTTGTTGCTGTCACTGGTGATGGAGTAAACGATGCTCCTGCGTTGAGAAAAGCTGACATAGGTAGTCCAGCAATAATATAAATCCAAACTTTCTAGCTCAAGACTATTTTCCAGGAATTGCTATGGGTATTGCCGGAACGGATGTGTCAAAACAAGCAGCTGATATGATTTTGCTCAACGATAATTTTGCTTCTATCGTAACTGGAGTGGAGGAGGGTCGCTTGATTTTTGACAATCTCAAAAAAAGTATTGCATACACGTTGACGTCTAATATACCTGGTAAGAAGCGAAGCGACGTACTAGTACCAACACCGTACTTACTTTTCCGTCTAATCTCAGCTGTATTTCCATTCAAAATAGAGCTTACCGCATCTAGCTTTTTACTCACAAACATAACGCGAAATTGTGGATGTGGCACGCCTGTTATTCTGAGGTTTTCAGAATTGCTCGATTTTTCAAAGCCCTCATTAGGCTACTTATTGGCCCGTAGTAAAGCTCGGTCATGGGAGATTATCTCCCCTGAGACCTTCATGTAAGGTTCTGTCAGTAAAATGACGACCGCCTCTTTCCCCATGCTATAGGGATGCAACGTCACCTGAGAGGTGAGCCTCAGGTGAAGTTCGGCAGGGAGATGATCTCCCTGCCGGGTCATGGGAGATGATATGAGCGATGATGTCCAGAAATAGTGTGCTAAAGAGGAAACGCAGAGAAAATCTTCGTAAGTTGCTCCTGAGTAACTTACGATACACAGCAATTTGCCTAACACTGCGGACAAAATCGGCGCAGAATTGCACAACCGCGCCCGAAAAGGAGAGGATCGATGAACAGCTGATTTTGGCGAGGAAGACAGAAAAAACAAATTCTTCTCTTCTTTGTAAACTTTACTGGTTTTTTTGAAGCTGTCGAAAACGAGGACTCATTTGTTCATTTCATTGAATTCACGTTGCAACCATTTCGTTTTGTCGCAAAATTTTCGTAACGAAATGTTTTTTGTTTTATCTTTGCGTTTGCTAGGCGAAATCCTTGATAGCGGTCATCATCGATTGGATAGTGGCCGCTATTAAAGATTGCCCGGCGATGCCGCAAAAGTTTTGTCGCTAGGCGGAGTCGAACCACGGCCGTGCGCGTGTAATTCCAATGGCTTACCCATTTAACCAAATCGAATCAAGTAGCCGTTTTTTCGAGAACGCACTTGATAATAATGTCCAGGAAGCGATCTGCATCCAGATCAATAGCTCGCTGGATGCTGGACTGAGGCGCCAAGATATCAACTCCGGTCCACCTCAGGGGAGATGCTTTGACGGTAGTTTACTACGGGCCATTGCCTTCCACATACTGCAGCAATTTTTTAGATAACCGCCGGGTGCAGGTGGTCCGCAAACTCGCGCTTTTCTGCAAGCGGTCAGCAAAATTTTGGGGCGTGGCCAAACATTCAGCGAGCGGTACTTTTGCGTTCTGCCAGCGGGCAGCAATACAAAGTTTTCTGTAAGCGCACTCGAGCATTCTCTTTTAGCGAGCGCGGGTCAGACTTTCAGCAGGTGCTAGGACTCTTTTTGCGCAGTTTCGGGTGTGCACCGAACAAAGGTAACACTCTGCATAACAGAGGTGTCATCGATGATTCAATTACCCGAGTCTGGGGTACTTTGCAGAAGGTACCTACGGGCTGTGCGGTCCTTCACAGAGGACCGTGCGGCCCTCAATAATTTTGTATATTCTCGCGGAAGGTCCGCGAGAATGCGGCTACTGCGCCGCAGCTAACCTATAAGGAAATCGCGATTGTTCTCCAAGCATTCGTCTAAAATTTCGCCAAAATTCTTCCAAATGTCTGCAAAGCGGACCGCAATATATCGAACTATTTTTCCGGCGCCAACCTGCCCATAAATCGTATGGCCGCCTGCCCCGGCGAATATCTGAGTTCTAATCTATTCGGCTTCATCGCTTATCTGTTTGCACCTGTCTGTAGTAATTTCACCATTCTAATTAGCTCTCAACAATTATGCCAAGATTTCAATGAAGCCACTTTTTCTTCCTTTACAGCGGAATGTCTTAAAAATGTATCAAACATTTGATGGCTAATGGCTTTGTTTAAACAGACGCGGACTTTTACGCGAAACCTCTTCCATGACAAAAGCGGTCGGTTCAGTGTGCGATGCGGCTGCGACCCAAGTGTTCGAACATCTCTTACTATTGGAGTTGGTACGCCCGCGCACGCCTCGCGCGCATAGGCAACCGCCTTCGTCTTTGATTAGCTTCTACCATACTGTAATGCTCAGTTTCAACTTACAAGGACTTTCTTTTTAGTCAAAGGCCCTTTACATTGTACCCTTTCATGACACTATCACTTTGTAGAGCATTGAACATTATTTCCATCTGTATTTCCTATGCCATGCGCCCCCGGAGCAGATATGGGCGTTTTTGGTCGAAAACTTTAATGCATTGGAGCAAAATCGTTCAGAATTGCTCAAAGGTCAGGTGTTAACTTTCAGAGCACTTTATTCAATGAACTTCTTCTCCCTATAACCCTTAGGCCTCGGGCATACCTCACGCGATTTCAGTCGCCACGCGATTTGGCAATACTCCAAATGTTCATAACTCATCCTACGGGGTTTCTGAATGTACGGTAGAGGGGGCATTTTATCAGCCTACGAAAGTTATACATGCTGTGCATTTGAGGTCTTCCAGTATTGAATTTGAAGACATATGGCAAATTGCCAGATCGCGTGGCGACTGAAATCGCGTGAGGTATGTCCCTTGCCTTATCCTTAACTCGCTTCACTTAGACGCAGGAAAGACGACGGTAATTTTACAGAAACTCTGCGTTCATTTTTTGCTTAAAAAACAGTTATGACTGGTATTGAGGGGCTCCTGGCAATAATAAATAAACTTTGAAATCAAGGTTCAGTGCTCTTCAAAGTGGTATAGGTCTCATTTCGAAAGGTCATTTAGACTAAAAATATTTGCTAGATTGAAAGGCAACCCCTCTCTACAGATATAGGACTGCTACGAAATTTTTTGAAGGATTGCCCTATAAAAGCATATTGCTCCAAAAATTGGTAAAATAGCTGTAAACTTAGTAGATTAGTTGGTTAACTAGCATTGCCTAATTTATATGAGGCCTTCTAATCTCCAGCTTAAGGTTACGGCATGTATACCATGACAGCGAACTTTTGTTAACTATCAAAAATCTTATCATACCATCTAAACCGCTCTACAAACATGCACAAAGTCATTTTAATGTTAGCGAGCCTGAAAACATCACCACACAAAGTGTTGGAATTTTTCTAAAAGGCAGCTATCTGTAGTGGCGACGTTGTAATAGAAGTATGTGGTTTGTTCTGTTCGAGTCTAAGTTGAAGCCATTTGTACAAATGCTACTTGAAAGTGTGCAAAAGCTGTTTAGAGAAGAGAGCTATTAGTGATCAATATTCGATGCATTTTTTGAAAAGACTCCCCGTAGAAAATAAATTTCAATATTGTTTAGGCATTCTTCATTACCAGTTTTTTAACTTAAATTTCGAAAGCTGAGCCTTTTCATTGAAGAGCAAAGTCAGAAATTTGAAAACGAATGATCAGAGAATTTAGAAGTTGTACCATTCATGACGTATGTGATTGTTGGGATCCCGCTACCTCTATCAGTTGTAGCTATACTTATGATTGATTTGGGAACAGATCTGGTAAAAAGAGTTGTTTTAATACGAACTGAAAGATTATGGAAGGAGAATCTTTTAGTGGCCTGCGATAGCGCTAGCTTACGAAGTGCCTGAAAGTGACATTATGCAACGCCCTCCAAGGAATCCTGAATATGACAAGCTTGTCAACGTCCGGTAATGGAAACTGTGAAAACCTATTGTCGTTGACTCGCTTATATCTTTATTAGGCTAATTCTTTTTGCTTACTTCCAAATTGGCGTTTTCCAAATGTGCGCTGGCTTTGTCACTTACTTTGGTAGGTCAGTGAAGCTAATTATCGTATTCAAACTTTTCAGTGTTTAAGCAATCATGATGAAACATGGATGGCATCCAATGGATTTGATAGGAATACGGGAACTATGGGACAGCGAATTTGTAGAAGACTTAGAGGACAGCTATGGACAACAATGGGTATACTACGACTTTAGTTATTTATACGGTTAACGCCATAATCCATAGTTTCCAACACAGTCAACGCCTTGATCGTAATTGACAAAAAGCTGCTTACAGTCGTATAAAGCCCGAAAGGGACTTGAAGCTAGTTGTCAAGCTGGTTATTTCTTTGCTGTGCTCGTTATTCAATGGGCGGACGCACTCATATCAAAAACAAGAAAAAATTCCATTGTAACACAAGGCATGGAGTGAGTTGGATAAATCTCATGTCTTCGTGCAAAAAAAACCTTTCTGTTAGAAATCAAGTGCTCAACACATCGTTGTTATTTACCACCGCTCTAACCATGTTCATTACGGTGGTGCCTGGGGTGAAGGATGTGCTGAATTTGGATGGAGTACGGTGAGTAACCTTTGATGACTACTGCAGTGCTTTATATGCTGTATTCTAGATTGGGAGAAGCTATGATTTCCGTGTATTTTGCCGTTATAATGTTTATCTATGATGAAGTTCGTCGTTGGTATTTAAGAAAGTATCCTACAGGATTTATATATAGCGAAACATACTTCTGAATGCACTCACTCCCAACAACGTAGGGAGTAGTGCCACTTAATAAACTTCTTGTTGGTTTTTATACACTCTACTCCTTATAACAAATGCCAAATACTCATTTACTCTGATTCCTCACTTACCCTTTAGATCTGGTTCAAAACATGCTCGTTATATGTAAGTGACACAAAATTAGATATGATAGGAATACGACAATTAGGAGAGTTTGTGAAAGGATAAAGAAAAAGATGAGCTACACAGGTCAAGAAAGTCTCAGCAAGAAGTACCAAAGTTCTTACTCTCAAACAGCTTTTTGAGTTTTTATGTAGGGGAAGGAAGGCTCAGGCTTTCGTCGGAATAGGTATACCAATGAACCTGAACTTTCACGGCATATCTAAAAGTTCACTGGCTCCGTTTGCGAGCAGTAAAGTAGTCTCAAAAGGAGACAGAGAAGCCATAAGAGTATCAGTTAGGTAACATAAAATTAAAGTTGTTCTCCCACCTCGCACTGATTATGGTGGGCAAGGCATCTAATTGAAAGCTACTACTGTGACAATACAGAATCACCAAGAATAGGGTCACATCCTACAAGAATTTCTGCTAAAGTACCCTATACAGGGTGTCCCAAAAGTATGTATCGAACGTTTGATCGTTAATATCTCTCTTCCCAAGAAGTCTTTTGCCTTGCTTCAAGTACCATTTTGTAGAGCTAGCTTCAACTTAGATTTGCATTATAGAACGAATCACTCATTCCTCTTCATTACTGTAGGATTACGGTAGAAACTTCAAAGAGGGTTTTAAGCAATGAAAGGCCATATTTTGCCTTAGAAAGGAAATAAAACAGCCTGAAAGTTTTCACACTAGGCTAATTAGAGTTGCTGATTATAACTGTAAAGTTCCCAACTTATTATGATGCTTCATTGAGGAGTTATGCCAGGTAAGAGGTAGCGGCCATTTTTTCAATGTTCCTAAAAAGTGCGATTACACCGTTTAGAAAGCTTTGTAATCTTGTGAATAGTTGAGTATTGAACTCAGCATCCATAAAAACCCTATTACACAAGTTTTCACAATTTTTTGAAGAATTTTGGAACTGCAGCTTTTTCCACATTGACACCATATGTTTCAAGTTTCTACCGTAATCCTACAGTAATGAAGAGAGATGGGTGATTCGTTCTTTAATGCAAATCTAAGTTGAAGCCAGCTCTACAAAATGGTACTTGAAGCAAGGCAAAAGACTTCTTGGGAAGAAAGATATTAACGACCAAACGTTCGATACATACTTTTGGGACACCCTGTATTAAGCCTGCAAATCTCACTTTGTTTCCTCTAAAGGCAAACGCGCTGAAATGGCGTGCCTGTGGAGACTTAACTGGGCACTAGTAGTGAAGAGCAACCGCTTGGCAAGGCGCACGCTCAGCTATGCCTTCAGGTCCGCCCTCGCTTGAAGCAAACTGGTGTGGCTTGTGCAAGTGAAAAATGAATAAATTTGTACTGATAGAACTTAAAAAAATACAAGGTGTCCCAAAAGTAAGTACACATTTTTCAATCGTCAATATCTTTCTTCCTAATCGGTCTTTTTTGCCAGTAAAGTACCATTCTGTAAAGGAGACTTCAACTTAGATTTACAGTATAGAGCGAATCACCGATCGCTTTTTGTTACGTAGGATTACGGTAAGAACTTCCAGAATGTGGGACCATTGTGAAATATGCCATCTGACAAATTTTTTTTCAAAAATTTTGAAAAATCGTGTACTAGGGTTTCCGCGCACGTTGATTCCACTACACAACTTCTTACGAGTGCTTTCGGCTTTTTTGACAGTGTAATCACACTTCTAGCAAATACTGGGAAATCGGTTATTATGGTTTAAATAAAATAACTTCGGAAAAAAGCATCACAGTAAAGTGAGTGTTTCATATTCGAAATCAGCGGCTTCCGTTACCGTAGTATAATAGCTTTTGGCTTGTTTGTCTTTGTTCCCAGGCAGAATATGGCTTCCAACGGCTTAAAATCCTTGTTCTTACAGTAACAAAGAGCGAACGGTGATTTGCTCGATACTGTAGGTTTAAGTTAGAGTCTCCTCTACAGAACGACACTTGAATGGCGGAAAAAGAAACAATGGGAAGGGAGATGTTAACGATGTGCACTTACTTTCAGGACACCTGTAAAACTTTGCTGATGAATTCTCATAATCAACTCACCTGCTCTTTATACTTGGAAAAATTCGTTTTTTTAAATGTTAATATCAAATAAGATTTGAAAATAAATTTCATACGTTTGACTTTCGAACAATAATCGATAGTCATTATTTGATTTCCGAATATTTTTTGAATAAATTACACGCACAATTCCTGATGAAGGAAGGATTTTTTGGTGACATGAAGAGACTTGCGAACCTAAAAGTCTACTCATATGACAGTTGTGAGGAAATTGCAAACTCGAAAAAGGCTGTTATCTCTAATCATAGCTCCTTAGGTAGTGAAATCGAGCAACCAACTATTGCGACATAGAAAGACGACTACTGCGACATAAAGGACGTCTTACATACTGCTCAGATTTCCGCACAGCCATCCAAACATTATACCCTCCGAAACCAAACTACTTCAAATTCTGATGGAAAGGTTGCTTACCTTCCAAATATGAGAACAGCGCAATTCCGGTCGCGCACCGTGCCCTCCCTGCCGATAGAAGTGACCTCAAACCCGTGCGCGAAGGCGGCTTCCGGCACTTCCCGTGACTACAAAGACTCCACAATGACTCCGCGTCTTTAACGCTGGCGGTAACTGAACTCATTTAAATGCAAATAGAAAGGCATTAGAAAAAGCATGTTTTCGTAATTTTTGGGCTCTTAAGTGGATTTCAGCAAGAGCACCTCAGAACCCTAAAGCGAATTTTGCATTGTTGGGATGAGCCACTGCCTCCAATGCAATTATTGAGTACGGTTTTTATGCAATAAAGCTGTTTATAACTTCGTCCACAACAAAGGCGCTAAGCAGATATGAAATACAGATTTGAAATCAGGAATGATATCCACGAAGTCCTTAATGCAGGAAAATGGACTTTCAAACCCCATTTTGATCGTTCGCGGTAGAAATTGGTAGGAATCTGGTTTCGCTAGCGTCATCCAAAAATTATCTCATCGCAACCACAAGGCAAAGCGGTGTGATGAAAATGATTCAACCCTACTTGAGCTTTCGCTTGCGAAAAAATCAGCGGAAAGTCAAGTGGGGGAAAATGGGATTTACCTCTTAAATGGACTTGAAAGCCCATTTCTTCCAGCAGCAAGGTGAGCTGAGATTAAGCCCATTTTTGACCTTTTTGCACACTTTTGTTTGCGATTTTTTGGGAATGTTCCTTAGCCCATTCTAAGATAGCAAGTGAGTGGGAAAAGTTTCGTGTCTTTTATGAAGTCTGAAATAAGTGTTTTTTTCTAAACTCATGCAAATGCTATGAAAATCATGGAAGAAGGTTAAATATACCAAAATATCCGCTAACAAACTCAAATGCTTTCAAATCAGGTCGATGCTAAAATTTTTATGTAAATCAAATAAGTTTGTTAACTCTTCAAATGATCAACCAAAACTATATTCATGATTTGTAATCTATATATATATATATATATATATATATATATATATATATATATATATATATATATAAAACTTAAACACTGTACCGTGTTTGTTAGGATGTTTGTGGCTTATAGACTCCTTTGTATGAGAAGCAAAGAGGCTGAATTTTGTTTCCCTATAAACAAGCCACGGCGCAAAAGATAGGCTACTTTTTCGACAATTCGCTGGGTCCTTCTATCGATTTATTGATTTGTTGCACTCTCAGTAAGGGAATGAAGCTTATCAGCAGCTATTGCCGAACCATTCCTATACTTATGTAAACAAGAGCAGTACGATCCATTGTGAACTTTCATCAGCAAAGTAAGGTCGAAAGCGTTCAGATGTAGGTCCTATCTGTCTAAGACTGCGAGATGCATCTTTTGCGGTGCGAGGTAGTAGTGTTGTTAACGCAAGTCAAAGCGTTTTATGCAGATGTGAGCCAATCGCTAAGTTACAAGCTGTCTCAAATTGCGTGCCACACTCTAGCGTTGGAACCTCCGGCATGAATTCCAGCCGCATGAGCGTGACTCTCAATCTGAAAGCTTACATCATTTTGTTTATTGACTGAAGTCCTTGAGTTTTTTTTTTCATTAATCTGTTATCCAAATGGCTCACAAGTTGTGGATTACATATTTTAACGTGGTAGAATGGCTGTTGCTTTGGCTATAAAGGTATTCGCTCTCTAAAGCAAGGACAGTCAAAGAAGCACTTACTTTTGTCGTAGTACGGGAGAGGAGGGTAGAATGCGGAAGTTGAAACAGAATAACCGATTAGCGGAGAAGTACTAGGAAAAATGGTCCTCAGGATAGCAGTGGGCGCTACATTATTCGAACGTTCTTCCACCTATATCGCAATGCTTGCTCTTCAAGTTTTTTCACGTCTTCCATGTTTCAAAAAGAAGAGAGACAATGCTGTTAAGTAAAAGTGTACACATTTTATTTTATTTTTGCAAACAAACTTCAATGATACACTACTGCTTTGAGTGTCACATATATCCAAAGACAGTGAACCCTAAGTGATGTTATCCCGGGCAAGGCCGGGTACGACAGCTAGTTGAAAATAAAAAAAGATTTGCGTTTGCATATAATCGCTCAGAAGCTATCTTTTGACTAATCTCTTGGAACGAAACCTCAAAGACGGCATTTCACACACGATTTTGAGTTTGGTCGCAAGAATTAATGAAGTGGCGCTAGCTAGCAAGAAAAATTCTGTGGAAAATTTCTTACTAATAGTCCATACTTCAACTACTTAGAGATATAAACATTAGTGCTGAAAGACAAAGAAAAGCTAAAGTAGGAAATTGGCAAAGTCATCTCTTGCAGATAGTTTTTCCGACTTGAAAAACCCTTTGGGTTGTAGTTTATTACAAGGTTTTCTATAAGATAAGCATTTTGATTTTCAGATTGTAGTGCAA